TAATGTATGATTTAAAAAAAAAATAAAAATAGAAATGAATGGATGAATGAATTGATGCATTAAATATTGAATCTATAAAATTCATTTGTATTAAAATATGAATGTTATAATTAATTAAAAATGTTTATATATTAATCTGTGACAAAAAATGGAGTCAAAACAGATTGTAACAACATTTTAATTAAGAAATATCTTCCTACAAATGTTTAATTACTTTGACTCTGACAGACGTCAAATATGTATTTATGAAGAATGTTCTATTCCTCAAAGACAATATATAAGTTATAGATTTTTATTAAACCTTACAATTATATTATAATTATAACGAAATCCTTTTTATCTTGTGTATTAATAAGTATAATATATTGAAAGTTGAGAGAAATTTATCGAAGTTGCCAGTATGTGTATCTTTATATCCATTTTTTGACTAAAAATTACAAGGATGTAGTCCTTATAAAAAGTTTTGGATTATTTATTTCAAACGGGTAATATTACAACTAGTTTTCCATTCTTCAACTTATCACACAAACAATGAACAATGGCTTGTAACTGCGTATAAGGCAGTGACAATAATTTTTCCTATCAATTATATATAAAAAACAAAATGTCATACTTAGTCAATGTATGGAGCGTCGTGCACTCGCCGAAGCGCACGAGATATTAGTTTAGTAAAGCGTTCAAACTTTTTGACCATAATTAGAAATTTAATTTTTTATAGGTTTTTATATACTTAAAAATAAATATAAAAATGGTAATTTAAAAATAAAGATGAAGTAATATTTTGTAATTTGTAAATCTTTTGAATTGGTCGTTCAGCGCACGAGTGCACTTAATGTACAGCCGCCACTGCCTGTGGTACTAATATTCTTTGAATTATTAAATGTCGCGTTTCCTTTCAACATGGTAAAGAAACGTTTAATTGTTAAATTATTTTATATCATTCAATTTATCTTCTTATTAATGAATGAGTAATGATATCAATAATTTTGTCAATATTCATGCAGAATTTTTATGAATTAATAAGAACAATTACGTCATAAAACGCAAATTATAAAAGCAAATAAACATGATCGGGATTTTCCAATTGTGATATTTCATTGTAGGAAAACAGATAGAATAACAAAAAACAAAGTGAGATCTATTTATAAGTATTTAGCTACAAAGGACTGCTATTTAGTTGACTGCGTGTTAATTCAATTATGACATATAACGATAAAAATATATATTTGTAATTGAAATAACACCAGTTAATAGTTAAAGCAGATGAAAATATAATCACTTTATAAATTAATAGCAAACTTGATGACGCTCTCAATTTGTTTTGCATCTGTTTTTACTTGATTAGTCTGTGACAAGTTTTTGTTTTTAGTTGCATCATGTTATACATATATAAACATAATATTATTGTTATAAATTTATTATTATAACTATCTTTATTAATTTTATTTTAGGATGTATATATATGTAGTACTTCAATCAGAAGGCAATCTGTGTCAAACACTTCAATTGAAATTATCTTAACAAGTAATTGTTTCAAGGTGAACAATTATTGTATATGATTAATGAAATATTAATATATGTGCAAATTATTAATTAGTTATTTTTAAGGTTACATAACCAACTAAAAAAAACATTTTGCGTTGGTACCTACACCGGTCTTGTTTAAATTATAAACTTAAAATTAGCATTTCTCAAATTAAGACGTTTCCAATGATTTTAAAAGAGGAGCATAATCTGGCAATTCAAAGCCCTTACAAAATATTTTCATACAAAACTTCAAATACACTTATGTATATGATTTGTCAGTAGACGTTTATAAATGAAAGTACGTACTTAGATGTTCAACTAAGGCCGTGTACCTGTAATGAAATTTAAATATACTACTCGTCTCCACGTTTTTACCTGTAAGACCTAACATTAGATCGTTTTTTTATATCAATGATAAAGTAATAACTACCCTACATTTTTTAGTTTTTTTTATTTCTCTTACTATTTTCGTTCCAAAAGGAAACAGGGATAAAGCTTTTAAGCAAGGATCAAACATATATTTTATATGTACTCTAACAAAAACCTCAATATTTTACTGGTTGATTGTTTTAATTATATCTGTTTTGGGATAGTGACAGTGACAGTTTATATATATATATAGAGTATATATAAATAAAGTATTTGTCTAAATATGAAAATAATAAGAAAATAAAGAATTACAAAAATATATAATGAAAGAAAAATTCAGAATGTCAAGCTGGACTTGCTATTTCTCTTTACTTTTTTGAGCTAAAATGCATTTTATAAACACATTTTTTTTTCATGATTTAGCAAGATATCTTAATGTTTTACACGATAAAAAATCTTCAAGATTAAATGTTTTACAGTTCAATGTAGGACTGTGGTCCACTCTCCTGTGACATCCTGGTCGATAAACGGTATGAGAAATATGTCTTTTAACCGGCTTAGCAAAGGATGTTATACTTAATAGGCTCCGTTGACCATAATTCCATATTATATCCTAGTTCTCTATTGGGATTCTATCTAGTTCCCTATTGAAGATTTGGATTTTACTCAGAGATTTCCATAGTATAGAAAATTTTATGTAAGATGGGTAATAACATAAACAAGTATGAGTTATAAGACTTGTATTATATTTGATATCAAATCTTAAAACTAACAGATAAATGAAAGAAACGTAAAGCTTATTCTACATTTATGGTTTCTTTTCATGTCTCTTTCTTAAAAGTAAAAGAAACCAAATCGGAACTGTTTATGAGTATGGGCGTAATTTATAACATTTTTATACAAAAGTCATAGATTTTAAGATACTTTAAAACAATTTTTTATCCACATTATTTGTGGATGTGGATACAAAAAAAAAATGTCATTGATTCATCTACTTCACAATTTTGATCTCTACCAAGTAATAACGATCTTTTGATCTGAACTATAGACTATATAAAATATATATGTATGTATATGTATTATATATATATATATTAAATTTTTCCTTCAACTTCTTAAGCTCAGGCGAAATGTATTCAGTTAAAATAACAAATACGTTAATCAACATCTATCGTTTGTCACGTGCATTTATAATTAAAATGCCTATGTTCTGCTACAATGTTACATAAGTATAGTACCTAGATTAAAATTATTGAGAGATAATATTATATTTGTAGTATATATTATTTTTATATAGAAGATACAGCTTCTTTGTTTGATGGAGCAATCATAACCATTAGTTCAATTAAAAGGACAATCAACACGTGATCTTGTTATAATGAGAAACACAACACTGAAGATTTGTATACAATAAAATAACAGATTTTCCCTACTTGTATATATTTTTTATATTATTTTTAATAAATTCTGTCTGTCTATCTGTTTGTTTAGGCTCATATTGGAAACAGTTGTTCCAATTTTGATGATGTAGGAAGTAGTTTTAACTGTTTTTATTTCAGAAATTTTATTTACTTTTAACGTAATTATAAAACGAATATTCCACACGGACGAAGTCGATGGCTGAGCTAGTTTTTATAAATCGTTTTCTCAACATCTTTCCTACACTAATAAAGCAATCAGAAAGCTATATACATACTCCAAAAAGTTTGATCTGTTATTAAAAACTAGTCAAGATATTACTGTTATTCTAGAATCTTTATCTATAGACTTCTATCACTTCATTTTATGACTACATTTACATCAAGGTTTTTCTATAAATTCGTGGTGTTTTTTTTTTTGGTAGAAGTATAAAAAACAAAAATTCAATCGTCCATCCAATTGTTTTTAACTATAATTAAAACAAGATCTTTTTTAAAAAATTCTGTAAGCACTTCGTAGAGATTATAGCGTATTACTTGATTTTGTATCAAATTTCTTTAAAATTATTTCTTTTTTAAACATTTTATTGAAATAATTGAAAGTCAGTGGCCTAGTGGTTAAAGGGCTCGCCTCTTGTTGCCGAGGACGCGGGTTCGATCTTGGCAAGTACCAATGTGATTTTTCTGAATCATATGTACTTTCTAAGAGTATTTAGGCACCACTGAGAGACGGTGAAGGAAAACATCGTGAGGAAACCTGAAATTATAATTTCACAATTATAAGTTTGAAATCACCAATCCGTCTTGAGCAAATCTTGGTGATTAATGCCTAAACCTTCTCCATGTGAGAAATAGCCCTTGCTCAGCATTGGGCTCTAATAGGCTGATGACGAATTGAAAATTAAATTCAATATATATTTAGCTATCAATAAAACTTTAACGTTCATTCATCAAAAGTTATTCGAGTATGACCGGTTTTTTAACCGTGACAAATAATTATAGGAACTTAAGAGTCACGTAGAACCATTTATTTATATATAAACACTTAAAAAACGTCACTTTTTTACCTCTTAATCTGAAACTACCTATTAAGTTTAATTTCCTATCAAGATTTTGTTATAAAGTATGTATTTTTATTAGTTGTTGCTTTACTATATTTTTGCGTTTTAGTTATTCCATATCTGTAAAGAAAAAATATCGGTTAATTGTTAATTTACATTATTACTTGTTATTCTATATGAAATTTAAAATTATTTGATTATTTAGATGAACCTTTTAAGTTTATAAAGAAATATAGATATAAACATTTATATTGTAATAATCTTGTAGTACAAATTAATTTCGTTTTCATCGTGATCGTGGTTGATGCTAAGTAAGCAAAACGTCAGTAACGAAACTACATACTGTAGTTAAAATAATAAAATACTCGTTGTCATCCGAAAATATAGTACATAGTTTGATTCAAAACAAATTTATTGTGTATAAATTTATATTAGGTATAAAAATTATACTTACACATGTTTTGTAAATTGTTGATCATAAGAATATGCTTATTATGTGTAAAAATATTAATTGACGATTCAAATTTATCATATGCAATAAATGCTTTGACTATATTAACCTATATAGTAAAAAAGTATTTTATCTTAAAAAATATATCTCATATATGTTTCTGTTTTAGAAAACATGGGTGATGAGCTGACTGAAAATGGAGAAGTAGGCCTGAATGAAAAACAAGCTACAGATCCCGACGAAGACAAACAAACAAACGTAGAGAAAATAGATATAGACAAAAATAAAGATATAGATATAGATAAAGATAGTAAAGATAAAATGAATTACACAGAAACTATCCGGCAGAGAGACAACGAATCAAATTATATACAAAATATAAAAAATTCAAAACTATCTTTAGGAGACTACTCAAAGGACGAGACACTACTGACTGATTCAAAAACCGTAGTCAGATTTTCTCCAGTATGGAAACAGGTAATATTAGTATATTAGTAATGTAAATACAAAGGGCATTTCAGCACGATACATACATTAGGTGACCAATCGCAATTAACGAAGATCATCAATCATTTAGTTAAATATTGGTCAAGGTTAATTTTAAACTGTTGGGACATAACTTCGCGTTTTTAATTACAATGAAGATGAAAGAAAAATGTATTTTGAGACAATATCTCTATGTAAATTTAATGATAGTTTGATTATCTACGAAGTATTAGTATTTTATAAATATTTGAATAAATCACGAACAATTGGTATTGTAAAGAGCAAAGTTTTCTTTCATTCCGAGCATCTATTGAAAGGATTTAATTACATAATTATAATGATGTTAATTACAATTTTAATAATATCTTAGATTTTCGCGTGAAATATTTTTTTGTGGTTACTACGCCTTTTTTATTATTTTATGACGAAAAAAATCATCTCGTCTGCTCAAGATCAAGGTTGCTGTAAAAGAGCCGAAACATCAGGATTATGTAGACATAAAATAATAAGAAACTAAGTTTTCTGGATACTGTTGTATTCAATTAAGTTTGATTGATTATAAAATAAAACAAATATTTAACGCTTTCTCTACTTAAAATACTCACATAGACAATATCCTTTGCAAAATAAGACCTAATTCTAATAAGATATTTGTTACCAATATTTTGCGGATATACTACGCGACTTTATTTTGATAAAAACTAGATACCTACATCTCGTCTGCCCGTGATCATGGTTGATGTAAAGTAACCGAAAAGTCGGGAGTATGTAGTTTTTATCAAAAATAAAGTCGCGTAATATATCCGCAAAATATTAATTTCATTTAAAATCCCAGATTTCATGAAGATATTTGTTATCTGAATTATAATTTGGAGTTGATTATTGAAGTGAACTGTTTACGAAGAATTTTTGAAGATTTTAAGTAATAGAATAATTTGATTCTCATTAATCTCTTCTATCACAGACTTTAGCATCTATGGCGGCTATCTTGATGACATTCTCCGCTGGGCTCACGTCAGGCTACTCCGCAATACTCCTGCCTCAACTAAAAGATACCAATAGCAGCATACCGTGTGATGAAAGTACAGCCTCCTGGATTGGTAAGTAGTATAAAACAGAATAATTAACGACAGAAGTTTGTAAAGTCAACGTCCACATAAATAGAATAAGTGGGAGCGAGAGGTATAACGGCTAAATCTCTCTACAACCAACTAAAAGACTTGGGTCTGTCCAGAAATAATATCAATTAATTGTTGGAACTTTCTTTGAAGGTAGCTCTAGTAGGTTATTTTCAAATTTCCTTAGGCAGAGAGAGGAGCTATGACAGTGGAGGTAAGCGTTTAACGTACTTTAGATAGGGGCCCCTTAAACCTACACCTGGGTCGCAAGTCCCAGTCACTGTTGAAGCTCCTCTCACTACAACGATGGACCCGGCACCCGCACGGTGAAAACAATGAATGATAAGAAGTTTCGTCTCTACAGAGACATATGAAATATAATTAAGAGTACTATATATTTATAAAACAAAAGACATGCATTTCTTACCGCTACATATAGTTATAATTGCTTATAAACCAGACTAATCTTGACTGAGTAAACTGTCCCAATTTCTGTTATAATCTAAATGTGTTAAAAATATTCTTATCATAAATTAATTACAATATTTGATAAAATTATTTAATCTTCAGTAAAAAAATATATTTAAAAACAAAAGCATATAATATATTAGCAGTCTAAAAACTTTGTTAAATAGTACTTTATTTGCATCCCTTTAATTACGAATCTATTATCTATACTGAGTTTAAACAAACTAAATAAACGACAATGCAGTGTCAATGTACTCGTAACTGGGCTATCAGCGACATTCAACACACATTAATTTACAATACACTACAAATCTCTTAAAACAATATGTCTTTATAACCGTTATTTTTAGGATTTCCGACCTACATACACTTTATTTGCACCAAAAATCTCAAAAGAAACAAACGCAGTAGAAAACGTGTATTTTTTTATATGTAAGCTGTATTATTGATAAATATAGTACAAATTTTGATTCATCAAGTAATGTCAAAGAAAAATTTATTTTAGATTAAATAAGATTGATTGTGTTGGAAGTGTCTGAAGATCAAAATTATCTGTTTGGAAATAGATAAAGACATAGTTTGAAACTGGAGAGTTTTTTGTACGTAGGACAATCATACAATATACATATATATATATATATATATATATATATATATATATATATATATATATATATATATATATATTTGTTATCGTTAATTAACACATGAATGCAATATATAACTTGTTATCAAACAGCCATATTGAAATGAACATATAACAAATTGTATGAAAAATTGTAAACTGAGTACAAAAAAATATTAAGTTTTACCAATAATGGGACATTTATTTGAAGTAAACATTACCTAATTATTTACAAACCTATTTGAGAGAAGGAAATGTTTTAATTAATTATAGGTACATATAAATACAAAGATAAGATGCATTTATTCTCATTGTACTCACTTCTAAGATCAAGGACTTGGTAAACACGTGACAACATTTCTCCTAGCGATAATTGTTTTAACCTTAGCGTGAGTTAATATCATCAAACTATCCACTGACTGATTCTTTGTTTCACATTCAATATTAATCACATGAAAAATTCATAGATACAAACAGGTTTCCAATCTGTATATAGATGGGTCCTATGTATAAGGGCTAATGTAGTAATTTTGCTTTAAACAATTCATTATACATACTGTATTTTCCAATCTTCTACTTGGCAATTTCCCAGCTTTTAGCCAGGGTCTGCCTTACATGTTGTGAATAGTTTTGGCTTATTGTTTTGACGTCCGGTCGCCTGCCTGACATCAACCCTCTTTGGGAATAATAACTGTACAATATCCATTTTAAAAAATGCGTATTTGTTAGTGGAATGACTTAGTATTTATTGCAGTAAAAAGGCATATGTAATACACTTTTTAACGTATAAGGACTTATTACATATTTAAAAAACTAGTAGGTTTTCAAAATAATTATCAAGCTTAAATGACGTACATGTATGTTATAGTTGCTATGCAAAGTTTCAAAAGCATCAGTTGTATGTACAAGATACATTGAAATCAAACTTAAAACGCTTCTACTGAACAATTGTCATTTTGCACATTGGCCATTATATAAAGGAGCCGTCGATATCGGAATATCGCGTTTCAATTGCTTCAACAAATAAGCTTTGTACTTTCAAGTCTTTGAGCCAATCATTTTATTTATTTGACCATCTCAGTTGGACGAAGTTGCCATTCCTAAGGTTTGATTACGAAACTCCCATTCAAAGTTGCTTAACTTGCCAGTATAGAAACATTGTCAGGATAATAAGGAAATTAAAATCGTATAATTGTTTGTATATTGATGAATAAAAAACTATACACGCGCCGTTCGTAAGTAACGATGAAAACTCGTATAAAAGGCTAATATTGCTTCTAGATGTAAATCAATAATCCTACCACTATCGAGTTTCTTTCATAAAGTCTATTTATATTATCCAGATAAATTAAAACATACAATATTACAAATCAATTATTATTGAATAATATTAATTTTGATATAGCAACCAATTATATATCCTCGGAACTATGAAATAAAAAAAAAATACTGTTATTACTGTAAGTCTATTTAGACTTATAGTGCTATTGAAATCATAACTATTTATGCCTTATTTAAAATTAAGTTTTAAAATATTTATATATAACATCAAATATATGTATTTTATTCTTATTTCGTACGTTAATAAACATAATTTTAGGCATCAATTTTTAAACCTACATATCTCTATTTACTATAAATATATTACTCAGTTACGAACAAAATAGTAAAAACTTCCCTTTTGTTTTTTTTACAAAAACTGGTTAACAAACAACATTCTTCTTTCGATTTCATTCATGTCTCGATAATTTAAACAGACGGGACGAACAACGGATTAAATGTCGAAATGTCATTTTGACATTTAATCTGTCATATCTTACGTATTTGCCTATTAAAAAAAACTAATTTGTTATAGGTGTCTGTTATTTTAGTTTATATTTTGAGAAACTTAATATTTATTGCATACAATTTTTACATATGATTAAATGTGTTTTTGTAATAATACATATTTCTCACAAATTTCGTCTAGACCAACTATCGTAGGTCTATGAATTAAAAATATATTTTTATTAAATGTTGTGTTTAGGTTGACTGTTAATAATAAAATATAAACTAATAATTATATGAAAACTAAATATAATAAATTAAGTTGTATTTCTCATTCTTTTAAATTATGGTGAAATTTATATTTGAAGGACATGAAGCCGATTGAGTAAGAAATAACCAACGTGTTCAAAATACAAAAAAAGCCGTAAATAAATGAAAGTTGACCTTAAACGAAAGCTGTTTAAAATAACTTCAAAAGGCTCTTAATCTCTTCCGAGAATTCATTGTCGGAATAATATTTGTTTTGTCAAGACGAACTCGAAGTTTAAGATCGTTTTGAAATCATTGCACACAATTGAATAGTATACAAAATCGATAGTTTGATCATAAGCCACAGACTAAATAAATATTGTAATTTACAACATCTATAATTTGTATACAAGCCACAGAATACATAAATATTGTAATGTACAACATCTGTAGTATGAATACAAGCCACAGATAAAATAAATAAATATTGATTGCATTTCGCAGACGACTGTAAAAGCATTGTTATATTGCATTCTCAATTTGATACTTCTTTGTCTGGTATATTGCATTTCTCAAAACAGGTTTCAATAAATGTCAAAGGTTGTCTTTCGTTTTATGAATGATTCAAGTGTAATAATTATATTTGATAGCATTCCTTTTCCCTTTATTTAATGCAACAGATTTCGAGTAACATTCTTTGTAGAAGACACCATTGTGTCTTGATAAAATTTGGCACAAAATACGTAATTTTATTAATGGGTAACTAAGATGTATGTTTTTTAATTGAATTATTTAGATAGTTATTTTTATTAAATGTTTTAATCAGAATTCTGTGGATTTGAATTCTACATGTAGCAGCAGAAAAAGAGCAAACATTGAAACAAACGGAACTGTTATCAATTGCGTAATTAGCAATCACATGTTTGGCATCAATGACGATGTTCTTACACTGAAATGTAAATATATGTACATATCTCTTTGAAATTCACATGCTAATGTTTTCATGATTTAATATAATAATAATTTCATTTATTTCTCATTAAATGTCAAATTTTATATGTAACTTTTTAAGATATTTTTTTTTTATAAATTATTTACCGATTTATATTCTCGCCTTATGTTATATAGTCGATATATTTTAAAATTTTAATTTTAGGACCAAAAATATTAAAACACTCGTGGCGTTGCAATCACGAACGCACGTACACTAATACAATTTTTTATAAATAAACTAAATTTGCTATAAATAAATGTTTTTGATAAACTGATACTAGAACGAGTAATTTAAACGTTATAAATTATTTAAAAAAAAGAGCCCAATTAGACGCAAGTTTCTTTTTAGAATGGGCCATTATCACTTATTTTTAATAGCAAATCTACCTCTGTATATGTACAGAGATAATAATTTAAAAAACAAACATTCGCAGTAGTTTCAATATACGGACAATGCCTATCATTTACTTGCTAAAATAAAAAGTAGTATGTATATTAAAGATTGTCGATTAAATGACTGTTGTACCAAATATTAAATAATATTGTTATCAAGGAAAGAAAATTTAATAAATATATTTTCACAGCGGCGATGGCGGCGTTACCAATGGCACCTGGTTGTCTGATCGGTGGTTGGCTCATGGAAAAGTTTGGAAGACGAAACGCTCACTACATGGTCTGCGCTCCCTTCCTCCTTGGCTGGATCCTCATAGCCTGCGCCAACAACCTCGCCCTCATACTCTTGGGAAGATTCTTCACAGGTCTTTGCGTTGGTCTCATTGGACCACTTGGACCCGTCTTCATCAGTGAAACCACAAGCCCACAGTATAGAGGAATTTTCCTTGCGGGAATATCATTAGCCATCGCCGTGGGTATTTTTGTAGCACATCTCATAGGAACGTATATACATTGGCAGTGGACGGCTGTGATTTGCTGCCTCTTCCCCATCATGTCAGTGGTTCTATTAAGCCTGATCCCCGAGAGCCCTACCTGGTTAATAGCTAAAGGACAACTTGAAGACGGCGTGAAATCTTTCCATTGGTTACGAGGTTATGATGAAGAAGCAAAGAACGAACTGAAAGGAATCATAGAAAAACAAAAAGCTCAAGATTCTGAACCGGTGCCGACGTGGCGAGAGAAGATTAACAGCCTGAAATCACCGACGCTGTTAAAACCTTTGTTTATAATGATAATATTCTTTGTAACTTGCCAATTCTCTGGTGTTAACGCGGTAGCCTTTTATTCTATTGAAATAATTGAAAGAGCCGTAGGTACAGGCATCGATCATTACATGGCTATGTTAGGAATAGATTCTCTGAGAACATTTATGTCTGTTGTTGCGTGCGTCATTTGTAAGAAATTTGGAAGACGCCCATTGTGCATGATAAGTGGAATCTTTACAGCTCTATCTATGGTTGCATTATCCATGTTTCTGTACTGGGCTGATGGAAAACAAACTAATCTATCTTGGATTCCTCTTTCTTGTCTGATGTTATACATATGTGCCATTTCTATAGGCCTCGTGCCTTTGCCATGGATGATGTGTGGAGAACTGTTCCCAACACGAGTTAGGGGTTTGGGATCAGGTATTAGTTCAGCAACAACATTTGTCTCATTCTTTATAGTAGTTAAGACTGCGCCAGGTATGATGTCCAATTTAGGAGAAGTCTTCACATTTCTGATCTATGGTATCGTAGCGCTTGTAGGGACGGGAATACTTTATTTCGTTTTACCAGAAACGAAAGGCAAGAGTCTTCAGGAAATAGAAGATAAATTTAAAAGTAATAAAATAAGCATAGCATAATTAAAATAGTTTATCTAGGTATAGTCATAAATAGATAGTTCTAAAAATTCCATAAAATGTACTTGCTTAAAGCGTAATTTATTTGTTATCTGTGATATTGTAAATATAAAAAAAATACATTTACAAATGTGTTTAATTGTGTTTTTTTTCTTTTGTGTCCAAAATAAAAAACAAAATAACCAGAATATATTTAATAGATTAATAACAAATTAAAATTAAAGTTACATAATATTAATGGCTTAAATGGAAATAGGAAGAGATATACATATTGAAATTTTATATTGGTCTTTCATTAATCTTTATTAAATATAGAAATCAGTCAAGTTATAACATCTTGTTGATAGGAATATTATCATTGAAACATTAATAAATTACATGAAAAATAAGACAAGAAAACTGGCATATATATATTTAGAAAAAAGTCGTTCGTCAGTATTAGTTTAACTTAGTAATTATTATGGCAACGAATGAATCACGTTGGATACTTGATTTTGGGCCCATGATAGCAAAAAGGCTTCCAAATCTTGAAATCTTGGGAACTGTTTCATTTAATTCACTTGGATCGTGGCTTTACAAGTCTTGAAGCCGGTGGAGCAAACTTGGTGAATCCCTGCTGATCAAAAACTGGCAACAAGTCACGGACCCTGGCAGATACAGTGCCACCAGTAACCCTGGAAAGATAGCCCCTGTGAAGAAGATATTGTTAAAATTAGGGTGCAAACTACTGTGACACAATCTACAGCGTGTTCTACATTCGTGCTTCTACATATTATAGTTTATATTTCTAACTAGTCATGTTTAAAAGTGAAGCTATAATGAGGAAAACTGAAAAGATGGGTTAATTGGATAATAAAACTCGTATAAGATATAAATCTAAATATTGATATGGTAACAAATCTTTTGATCCCATAAATTGTAAAATACTATGCAAATCATAATATATGATCATAAACCCATTAATTGTGAGTGAGTGAGTCTATTTTTTTCTTACAAAGTTGACAACGATCATTGCTATGTTAAAATTTGAAGGCGTACAATTACACTGAATCACTAAACGAGATTTAGAACTTTGGTAATTACCTATCATAATGTATTTTATGGTTATTATTCTACATTGGTTTATCAATTTTTCTTATATCAACAATAATCATAATCTTTAGTGTAATGTGTATTTAAAAAATGTATGCATCAGTGCATCTATATATAGCATTGCATGTCTATACGTCATAATGTAGATAGTCATACCTGCTAGGCTTCACGAGTTTAGCTGCCTGCGCCGGTGTCGCCAACTCAGTCGGGAAATATGTTGCTCCGTAGAAGTCCAGACCGTTTTGAAGAAGGATGTTAGCTTCTTCTATATTGGCGAGCGTGATCCTCATCACACTAGAAGCTTCTTTCGGTACCATACTGCTCACCAATTCTCCATCGATACTGGTTATGGCACGACTTGGAGTTTTCTCCAAAGGTTTTGGGGTTGATGTACCTGCAGTATCAATAATAGTTATTTATCCTTATCCTTTTTCCTTAATGTAGTACAATATAATGTTTTTTTAGGAATTAGCTTGTATTTTTTAAAATCAATTATATCCTTTTGACTTACTAACCACCCTTTGATCAATGTAGTTACAAGTTTGTGGGGTTGCCACCTTTGCCCTCGTCTTTAGCTTTGACTTTATTTGTATTACTTTATAGTAAAATGGTAAATTAGATTTTCAAATAAGGATTTAAGGATATAATAAGGATTTTCAATTTTCAGATAAGGATTCATTACTTTTACTTGTTCACTGTTTTATTTTTGATTTGACATTATAATGCTATTATAATTTTTTTCTTTTTTGAAGTATCTAATAAGCACTACTTTAGTAAATAAATTTCTCTTCAGTTCTATCCAAATGTAGTTTTTTCAATCGTATATTACCTCTAATTATGACGGCAAAAATAAATAAGATCAAGCTAATATTCTCATAACCTGTAAAGCAATCTTACCAGTGTTACCTTCGCGTGGTGATCCAGTGAAATGCAGACGCACCACCTCCACGACGGATGTAAACTTGAACAGGGCATGACGAACATCTTCTTCAGGCACCTCGTCGGGTATATCATACACGTAAATCGTGAAAGTCTTCTGAGGACGGCAGGGTATAGCTATCTGGAAGACAGAAAAATATGAAGTGCTTAAGCCATTATTAACATGAATTACATTTAATATAGGGCCATCTCATTTAATCCAATCGTAAATTTTTTTGATGATGGATTTTGATAACAAATGGGTATTTAAAGCAGATAAGCAAGATGAAGGGCAGAGAAAACTTACCTTTCTATAAAATCTGGATCCTGTAACTTTATGGAAGCCTTTCTTGAACACCATCTGGTAGTCGTCGACGCTGGAGAATTTGAATAAGATACCTGTAGCGGTTTTTGTGAGAGAAAAGCAACCTTTGAATTCCATTTTCTCGCATATAGCGGACGCCTTCTCCATGCTAAGGCCATGAGAGGGCGTGAGGAGGAAGGCTCCTTTGGTGAGGAAGTGCTCGGAATCCGATATATCAGATTCACTATCTCCGCCCTTCATCAACGTATGGATCTGCTCTTTCCACATGTATGGGTCTGACATCTGAAGATATGATGTAAATTTTTCTATTAAAGAAATATAAGCAAAATTATAATTTAGTTTTATAAGATTAAGGTAAAGGAAAACGAGTACATCTATGATTTATCGTTCTAAAAAGTGGTACTCAAAACACTTTTAAATCGTGTGGAAGTGTTTAGTTCACTGATAGATTAAATTTATTTAAGAATCATTTAGGACAAATAACGATTGCACATATATATGTTTGCAAACGCAAAGGTTTATTCTTAAAATAAATATATTTAATATATTTACTAAATAAATATAGAAAGTAATATTATTAAATGATAATTAAAACTAACTAAATGACAATTTAGCTTGCAGACATTTTTTTTATTAGTATTTAGTCAATATATAATAATTCAAGGAACTTTAAATAAAATACTGTATTAAAAAAATACTAACGAAAATATAATTGAAATTACTTCGTCTTCTTTTATAAATAGTATTTTGAGATAATCTCTTACTGCCGAAAGTTTCAGCAGTTACAAAAAACTGATTCTATGTAACTAAATTTAATACAATATATATAATAATTACTTAAAAATATAGGCTGTAATTATAAAATATTTTAAGATTATGTATTTTTTTTTAAATATTATTTATTAGCTAGTAAGAAAGAACAGTTCTACATTTTATAAATAAAGTTTGAAGTCAGGAATATAACATTAATACAATCTGTTGTTGACATGTAACAAGTCAATCAAACGTTTGAAAGCAAAGCTACGGTAACAAAACAATGGTTAATAAATATATGAAGACAGTAATGGCTCGTTTCGGTTCAAAGAGCACGCGTGATCCCTTGCCTTTAGGCTTTAATTGAAGTATTGTTTTAACTTCCGTTAAAAATATCAATAAATTCTAGATTAACTGACAGAACCATGCTTAGATATATCCATCCATCTATCCATCCGTTTTCTGTGGGATACTATAAAAAATCTGCAATGAATCACGCTACAGGTTGGGCTTAGTAACTGTCTCAAATCCTTAAATTAATTTATATAGATAAAGACATTTTATTATAGGTATCTATGGTTTTATAGAATTTGTTACATTTCTCAAGTGCAAACAGCCATAATATTTTTTAAAACTCTACAATTATGTTTCAAAATAGCAAATAAAATATTAAATATGACTATCATATTAATTGGTTTATCTACAATATTCAAAAAACTCTCGTGTGGTCATAAATTTTGCTACCAATTCTTGAACATATTTCAAATGATCAGCGATATAAACTTATAAAATCCATTTGAATTAAATGAATAAAATTATTTGGTAATACATGATAATGATGCTACAATTAACTACAAATTATGGTAGTGTTTTCATAAAAACACCAAAGTTTATACACCCATAAGGATTGAAATGCAATAAAAAGTGTAAAACTACAAATTGAGTTATCCTTGAAGTAAACCAAATTGGTAAATGATAGCCTAATTACTACAGTGGGTGGACAAGACGAACTCTTTCCGATTTCCCACAGACTTTGGTACCATATATGGTGACACAAATTGGTCCTTTTAAACAATTCGCTTATAACGTTCGTAATTAATTGACACTGGCTATTTGAGATACAATAAAATTGGACAAAGTAGACTGGATACTGAAGGACTGAGCGCTTTTGCTCCCAAAAATATACATATAAAAAAGGCGCTACCTTTATATGACTGAACACTCTCTGCTTTAAAATCAGAATAACATTAAGGAACCCAAACCTAAGTTCTAGTATTCAGAAACAAAATTGAGAAACTTTACAAGAAATAGTACCTACTTAGAACATAAATAAATTAAGAGAAAAGGTTTAAAATAATGGATAATTGAAAACGAACAAAACGTTTCTGCGTGTTAACATAAAAAAAAACTATCACGGTGTTTTAATATCGTAATGAACTTCGTGTTATAATTTACTTTAAATTATTTCAGTTGTATCGACATACGAAATTATAAACTTTTTAGTGCATTTTTACAGCATAGTTATACTAATTATGTTCAATTCAAAAACGCATCAAATAATATATGTAAATATATAGTAACAAAAATACAAAAATAAATAGACGCTATTTTCCGGAATAACCAATTTTTCGGTTGAAACGAAAAGTTGAATAAAACCACTAATTTAAATAATATTTGAATAGTATTTCCTTTTCTACCTTTAAAATTAACTAACAAATACATATTGTATTTTTACACTTTACTATTAAAAGGTTTTAAGTACCGAGTAACTTAAAAAACTCAAAATTTTTAGTGTTATATCTCGTATAAGCCTCATTTTGGGCGCCAATATTGAGAATTAACGCGGTATAACTTTACGTTCGTAACTAGCAATGAAATGAGATAAAGGAAACCTTAAAAGGATGTAGTTGAGCCTATGAACAAATATAAGTATATACGTGGAATTAATTTGATTAAAAAGACTACTACTTATGATCCTATAAAACACTTACCGAACCGCGTGGTTTATCGGATTTCTTAGAGTCTTCCTGCCTATGTTCTGTGTCAGAGGCGCCTTCCGCTAAGGACATCTTGCGTCTGAGGTGCGCGTGCGCAGCCCGCCTGTATACCCGCACTGCCGCGATCGAGCGTGAAGACGCTCCTTAAGAACAAACCGTGTATGGAGGGGCTCATTGTTTGATAATTTTATAGATGACTTTAATTTCATTAAGCTCAATTGACATGTTTTTTTGTCGTCTATTTATTTCCATATAGTGTTTTTGTATTTTTTTCTATGAAAATGAATGAATTGGATAAAAAAAAATATATATCCTTAAAGTTATGTGTAATTTCTTCATGTTATCGTGAAATTTAAGTATTTTTACTGGTATAACTTTTACTTCAAGCATGTGTCTCGTGAAATTTCGTTAAATTATTAAAGGATGTGAAGTATCAATGATTATAAAAAAATTGCCAATGAAAATTATTATGATATTTTAAACAACTCAACAGTTTTGACATTTTTTATTACATTAACCAAAGTCATCTTCTGTATCTACATACTATTATTAACATGTACTTTATAACATATTGTTCCTTTAAAATTATATAGGTATATGTATAAGAATTCGTTTTTTTATATCTTCTTGATTTTTGTGTCATATAACCAATATTGAAAAATTGAAATATAGCAATATGTAAGTACTCTAGCATAAAATTTTTCAGCAAATAACTATTTGCTGCCCAAATTTTTAGTATTCTTAACCCACAAACTTACACCCGTGTGGATTTGAATGCTAGAAATTAAACTTTGCATATATCTATTGAATAGATTTACAGAGGTTTTAAAACTTCTATCCTAATCAAAATGATAAACAAACATCATGTACAAAGGTTACACGATGTTTGTGAAGTATTTAGGGACTAAAAATATTCTTTTAAATACCTATAGTACAAAATTTTATATTTAAAGTAAAATATCTATTAAGAAATACTGTTGTGCGAACTTTACTCTTATTTTTGATAGCCACACTGTAAATTGAGTAAAAAATCTTATTTAAACATCAGCCGACCCATCAAACTGTGTGGTCCATGATCTGAGCAAAAAGTTGAAATAATATACGTGTTGAATAAAAAAGTATAATGAAAGAAAGAAATAGATTCGCAGTATGATGAAAATTCTAATCTCGTCAGTGTGACCAACAAATATTGGACGACTACAATAGAATTTTCTTCCCGTTAGGGTTTTTGGTTGATTAGGCTAATATACTAGAGAAGGCTACTCACACTCACAAACACACACACACATACCAAAGCTTCATCCTTCTGTGCTAGCTGAACCCTTATTGAATGAAAGATAAGTATGTCAATTATGATACGTCACTTTCATATTCTGTAAGAAAATAATTGAAACATTCTATATAATATAAATTTTTATTAGATATATCTATTAACATCGAAGAAATGTGTTTACTTTGAAAATACTTATATTGTAATCATTCCTGACCTTAACAAATAATACATCTAACACACTTGTTAATTTAAGCAATACTTTACATTATAGAAAAAACTAAATCTAAGAAAATAAGAAATTTTAATAACTCCTTAACTTTTTATTTTAATAGCGAAGGTAAATAGACCAATAACCCAAAACCCTAAAGATAACAAATATTTATTTGTAAAACCATAAAACATTAATTACTTAATTATCAAGATAAATATGTATTTAAAAATGTATAAAATTGTCCAGCTCTTGCTTTTGATACAAAATCCCTTCTGAACTTTGTATAATATGCATTTATAAATTATATTCCATATTTTTCTATGTATAAAAAGGTTAAGCGGCCCCTTAAACCTACACCTGGGTCGCAAGTCCCAGTTACTGTTGAAGCTTCTCTCCCTGCAACGATGAACCCGGCACCACATGGAATGATAAGAAGTTGTCGAAACTCATTGAACATTAAATATCTAATGCCTTAATACAAATAGCAAGCTGATAAAATATCGGGAGATAAAAAAATGTAGTGATAATCTCCTTAGTTAAATCATCTGGTATCGTGACACTCTCAAGGTGTAGGTGATGTGAATTCACGTAACACCTATCATGAACTATTTGCCACGATGTATATTTCGCCATTTATAAAACAGGTAAGTTTTTAATACTATTATTTTATAATTACATTAATTATACATTACAATTTTCATTTATATCTATTACTTACAATTGCCTGAAAAACTACTCTTTGATAAATTTTCCTAATTTTTTTTCCATATTAATTAAGTACTATGCATTCATTCATTTAGTCGAAAGACGTCCACTGTAGGACATAGGCGTCCCCCGAGGATTAAACACTATAATAAATTCCAATTATGTGTATGTTATTAAAATATTTAATAAAAAGCTTTCTATTATGTGGAATTTTAAACTATTGCTTTTATCTAAGAAATACCGTGTTATATAAATATCACATTTATGGTAATTAAAGCCTTAATCTGTGTAAAACTTCGAAGGAATTATTACAATTAGTTTTATTTTCAATGACCAAATTTAGTTACTGAAAGTTTGAGCTTACAGGATATTTATTGGTTGTTGTCCAAAGGTGAAGAATAAATAATTTTAACACAGTATACTAAAAACACTATTTGTTCTTATATAACAATACATAACTTCATATAATAAATACATAATTCCTAGGTGTTAAAGGTAACCGAAATGTCGAGAGTTTGTAGTTTTAAAAATAATAAAGTACGCGTTGTAATCCGAATAATATTAGTTTCATTTAAATGAATATACGCGAAAGTCTTAGATCTTGTTCACTGACATAATATCCAAATAATATCTGTACAGTATAAGATGTTTAAATATTGATGAATAAATTAAAATACAGATTTTCCCTTTATATATATATTCAAAATATGCATATAATTTAACATTTGTTATTAAAATAAAAACGCAGTTTCATGTCTGTTACTATTATTTTGTACTGAAGTGTTCGGTATATGTATTAAATATCCCTTTAAGTGTACAATATAATACTTCTTTCAATACTTCCTATTTTATTGAAAGGTTAAGTCTGTTATCCGTTACTGTATCTTAAATTAAAAAAAAATAAAGAAAGAAAAACCTATGCTTATTAATCTCAAATAAACATATAAAGTTGACCTCAATATTTTTATGTAACAAAATATGTTTTTCAGTGTTTCGTGACAGTGACTGTGGGTATCAATACGATCACATACGGGTGTGCGCTTGGATTCCCAGCTATACTTCTGCCACAACTTAAATCTCCAAATTCTGCACTAGAAATCACTAAAAAAGCTGAATCATGGATTGGTTCGTTAAAAACTTATTTTTATTTATTATTAACAGCAAACAAAGTAATCTAACATCACGTTTTCTGTTACAGCGGCAATACTTGCTCTGAGTTTGTTGTCAGGAAATTTTGTATCTCCTTTTATCATGGACAGACTTGGTCGAAAAACAGCTCACTTTACAGTATCTGTAATATTTTTGTGCGGATGGTACATCACTCTCCTTGCTTCGAATGTTGAAGTGAGTATAGTCTTATATGAACTTATAAGTTATCGAGTAACTGTACTGTTAAAAAACAAACAATGGGTGGTACAGCCTACTTGTGGTCAAGTAATGATAGCTTGAACTTGGTTTGACTCAATTGGAGAAGTACCAACCTCTCTCAGAAGATTGGTGTGAAGTAGTCTTTCTTTGGATGTCTATGGGCGACGGTGACTACTACCCACCAAGTAAGCCGTCGGCTCGTATGAATGGTCATATAAAAAAGCATATTTTTTTTTGCAGGTACTTATTATCGGGAGACTATTTCTGGGCATAGCTGGAGGTATTTTAAGTACATTAAGATCAATTCTCGTGGGGGAATATACCAGTCCTCGAAATAGAGGAGCTTTTCTGTCAACACTGTCCCTTACTCAGGCCTTTGGTATAATGTTGGTACACCTCATGGGTTCTCTCTTTTCATGGCAACAAACAGCTCTGATGTGTGTTTTCTTTCCTTTCATAAGCCTCATAATGATAATATATACTCCTGAATCGCCAAGTTGGCTTATAGCAAAAGGCCGCTATGATGAAAGTAGACAAGTCTTCAGATGGCTCAGAGGAAACGATGAAGATAATGAACTTGAGAGCATGATATTGGCAAGGATGGCCTTCGAACAAGCCAAAATAAAGGAATATAAAAGTGGCAACTGCTTTCGACGATGGTTTCAAACAATCAAGAAGAAAGAGTTTTATAAACCTATACTCATTCTTATCCACAGTAATACTATTTTGCATTTCTCTGGGGGAACAACTATTGCCTCGTATTCTACGGTAATTTTAGGTCATTTAATGGGACCAAAAGCTAATGTACATTTTTGGATGGTATTCCTTGACGTGCAAAGAGTAATTTCTAATTCAATTTTCGTTTACATTATAAACAGAACCAAAAGAAGAACAATGATATTTTCAACTGGTGCTTTATCTGTGTTAAGCCACGTCGCTATAGCTATCTTCGTATATTTCAAAACATCAGGATGGAATTACGACTCTATTTGGCTTCCAGCGTTGCTCATAAATATTCAATTCTTCGCAGTAGCTGTAGGAACTGTTCCTCTCCCACAAGTCATAGGAGGAGAAGTTCTGCCATTAGAATATAGAAGTATTGGTGGCACGATAAGCTTAGCGACAGGAGGGAGCATAATGTTCTTAGTTCTTAAGACGTTTCCAGAATTAATAGATAATTGTGGTTTACACGGTACTTATGTAGTGTATACAATTATTATTTTTATTAATTTGCTGTTAATCGGAATATTTTTACCTGAAACAAAAGGAAAAACTTTACAACAAATTGAAGACGAATTTAGAGGTAGACCTTTGAGATTGGAAGAAATTGAAGCAAGACAGTCGTTGCATTCCAATCCTGTGGAAAATTATAAAAGAAAAATGTCTGAGAGTAACACGATAATAGAAACGTATAACTGAATGTGACAATAATACAAAACAAGACGGAAACAATTTACATGTTAGATAAATAAGATTTTTGTACCTAGATTACAGCATGTAAACTGTCGTAGATTGTCAGATCTACATATATGTATTTTTTTAACTATTTGTTTGTGTTGTCCTAATACTCGAATAAATGACATTTAATACTTTTTATAATTTTCAATTCTATGCAATAGAAAAATATGTATGTATTTTTCTTATATTCAATGTATGGTCCTATTGCTTTTACTATCTTCTAATGATTTTACAGTATGTAAATATTATCGCTAGAAAATCCTTTAACACTTTAGGCCTCCCATGTATACGAGTGAAAGACAAGTCACTGATAAATTGATAAAAACAATTTTTAATATCTCTTAATATAATCGGTGCCAAAATATCCGTCAAACAATTTTACTTTGAAGAAGAAGGTCATAATTAGTATTATCTATTTAAATTTGATTATTCTTAGAGCAAACCAGATTTACGACTTAAGTAACAACAAATAAAGAATTAACACTTCTCTAAATGTTCATCATGTGATTACAGATAATTTTCTATTCTTGTTCAACTAGAAACGAACGATTTTTCATAAATGTTATCCTCCTTAACACACATGCTGGTAAACTTTAGAGCTCCATCTGAGCTAAGCCGTTTGTTAAAAAAATTATATGCGATTCCAGTGTGTGTTTACACCAACAATTTACTAAAGTAAATCCTATTTAATCACCGAAAAGGGCAGAGAATATGCAGTTTCCTAAACCTCCAATTTATTTCAAAATCTTGATACCTGCGTAGGAAAGTAAAGATAAGACTTATCTCACACGTGTCCAGATAAGAAATCTCTTTATTCTAAGTCATCACAATTTTGACGACTAGTCTTCTATCAACATGGGTACGGTATTCCGTATACATCAGTGATAAGACCTATTTTAAATAAGATGAAAAATTCCCACTTTATTATTAATGGGTATGTAGCCTTTCAGAGTAAACGCATTATCGCAGAAATCTGCAACGAAAGGATGGAGACTAAATGTCCGTCTAGTTGTTCCTTAATACATGAGATTCCTGCGCACGCTGTCCAAAATGGGACTCACTCCAAAATTCAATACAACTATTTAGATTCGTCCCCTATATTGCTTCATCAGACAACATGTCCCGACTCGACTAATCAGATGAGAGGAAGTAACTATGTCAAATATTATAGTAAAAATAAGTATTTAGACAAACCTATTTATTCGAAAGAACATAAAACTCAAAAGCACGTAGTAATGAAAACCTACACAATAGACATTGACAATGTGTACAACATTTATTGTTAAGCTAAGTTCTAATATACCCTATAGGATGATTTATTTAGATACAGAGACTTTCATTCATATCATGGTTCCTGTTTTTATTATAAATTCATTCAAGGTAAAGCCCAATGTTTTTTCAAAAGATGTCCTTTGTATATATTTCAAAACCACATGGTTACTAGTAATGTCAATAATGTTCCTGACTCACAAGTATTGCTGATAATATTGGCTTATTAATCGCTAATAACGTTGCTTTCTTGTTATGTAAAAAAAAAATATAAAAAATACAGTAATGTATTTAACCTAGACACTATAAACGTGCAAACTGGAAAAAAAAACTTGCAGGAAATTAGAGAACGACAAGAAACAGGTTGTTATTATTAATCATAAATATTTAAGCATAAAATTTACTTTAAAAAAACACTTTTTCATCAGTCAGAATTTTAGATAAATAAAATTAAGATTCCTTTATTTAATCCTTAAAAATACATAATTACTAATAAAAAGACACAAAATTTTGTTAATCTTTTATTAAATAATCTAATTAAAATTACAGTTTACAATCAGAAGCACTCGGGTGTGATCGAGTTTCTTTACAATGTGCGATAAACAAGTCTATATTAGACGCAGACTGACTGAGTGACTATCAGTGACCTAAGTATACAGTCCACACTACGTAACAATACTCGAAATCTACATACATTAGAAAAATTTTAACTAGATTCACATTTCATTAAAAAAATATTTACAAAAAGACCGACGTATCGACAGAAAAATAAATCATTCCACAGCATTCAACGACCGTTTATATATATATGAAACGAACATCCCATTGTGTATACATCGCTTTATTTATTAATTCTAAAAATTTTAACGTATCGGATACAAGTTTCATATAATGACAGACGGCTGGACATCTCTCGTTGAGTTCGTATCAATTCCACACTCATTTACACTCGGGTTCTTTACAACTATACTTACAACAGCTAACCGTATTCCACAACGTATAAAAATAATATATTACGGGTAGAAAAGTCATTATAACCACGAGCTTCAAACTCACGTATTGGGACGATGACGAGGGGACAGTAAATATATATATACACATATATATGAAAATAAAATACATAGCAAATATATTAATTAAAAAAAATGGTTAACGGAGGAATTCAAAATAATGTACATCTTTCCAGAACATGATTTCGCTTTTCATTCTTTCTATATCACTTTACATTCAAAACAAATGGACACTAAACACCGATATAACAATTAATCAAATACATTACAGACTTTCATTTAAAACCGTTCAAATGTTACAGTTAGACGTTATATACAGGATGCTCCGTATACCACATAGTACAGACAATAGACATCACAAAAACAACGGTAACTTCTACCAAACGAAACTCATCAAATAGTTTTAACTGGAAGCTTGTTATGAACGCACAACATGTATAATATGAATCGTAATTTATGAGCAGAAAAAACATCGACCTGTATATAATATTTTGCATTGATATTTCCGTTAGAGTAGTATATCGGTTGTAGTTTGTTCGTTAACCGACTACTGACTACCTATTATAAGTCAGTTACTTCCTATTCTCAGCACACGAGCCACACACGTAGTCATCATCTTCCCTCAAAGCTCCTCGACTAAGTCCTACACAGTGCATGTGGAACCATTGGTCGCAACCGCCGTCGCATTGAACCCAGTCCACCTCCTTGCCTGAATGAATAATATATTTTATATTATAGATTATAGATAATCCTTTATTAAGTGAACACTAAAATCTATATATAGAAATGTTATTATCAGATCAAAATAATTCGTATTTAAATTTGTATGCATACACATAATCGATTTCCAATCACATAGTATTAACAAAAATATTGATTTCTAACATAATATAAACGAGTCTAATCATAACAAACATCAATATATCCAAACAGACACTTAATAAAAATTTATGCCTCATATAAGCAAAAATATAATTAAGAGACTACCTCATAATATCAGATATAGGCATACACTTAATAAAAATATAAAAATGCTTCATACAAGTACATATAATATAAGAGACTGACTTATAATATCAGATATAGGCATAGCAATAATTAGTATGTAATATGTATGTATATAACTGACCTGTGGGCCGCAGACAGTCAGCGGCTGCGCAGTCCTCCTCATCATCAGCTGAGGAGCGTGAGGAGGAGGACGATCGAGGGGAGCGGGGCGCGCGGGGCGAGCGAGGGGTGCGGGGCGAGCGGGGGGCGCGCGGTCTAGGAGGGGGGCGCGCCGGCAGGGGGCGCTTACGACGCTCCTGGCGGGCTAGGTAGTGCTTACGCATCATTAGCCCGGAGCCGGACGACATTCCCTACATATGGAAAAACATGATTTAATTATTGTTAAACATACATACGACAGAATATTTTAATGAAACTAATATTTTTTTATGTACTTCGCGACTTTATTCCTGATAAACTATATAGTCCCGACGTTTCGGCTACTTTTCAGCAACCGTGATATCACAGGCAAACGAGATGTGAATGTCTGTCATAGCTTATATTACAAGTTACATATTTGGTATGATTAATGCGATTTGATTGAAGTTTCCATTGTTATTGTAACATGGAGTGTACGAGTTAGAAATACAATGGATTAGAAAAAAATACAAATATAACATAATAATTATTAATTACAATTATGAACACACAAAAATACAATGTATATAAAAATACTAAATACTATATCATAATTTTACGAAATAATATCACAGTCGTTTTAAGACGAAAGCAAACATAGATATGGTAACGGATATTTAATATAATATATAGTGGATTTTAATATATAAGTCTAAGTAACAATATAATAATTCACCTGTTTCCGATTTAAGTAGTTGGTAGTTGTGGCTGAGCCGCGTTTCATAGTCGTCTTTGTGGTGTTTGTTCCTGGAAATATGATTTGGAATGTTACTACTGATAAAGAACTCCAAAATGTTAACGATGTTTTCAAATGGAACCACGATTCATAACCAACTTTATTCATACATTACATTTCTTATTTATGCTTAATATATCATAAACACAAATATCTCTTTCTCTGTATGTATGATTATTTCCTTTCTCATAAAATCTTTTTGATGAAAATTTTCAATATATATAAATTTTGATTTTCATAGAAACATTTTCAACCCTCACAAGCATCAGGTCGCTAATTGATATTCAATATCTATCCATTACATTTTGCACTCATTCATCTATCTCACAACACAATATAAAAGACATTTCATACAAAGACAGGCATATAACATTAATACATATGTATGTATGTGTGTGTATGTATATATGTGTGTATGTGTGTGTATGTATATATGTGTGTGTGTGTGTGTATGTACCATGTAGTACTCTCGTCCTCTTAAGCGGGTGATGATGTCGTGCAGGTCTCTGTGCCCTCTTCCTTCTACCCGCGTCTAACACTCGCGCCGCCCGCCGACCCTCGGCCGCTCGAGCGGCCCACACAGCAGCCCATACTAGACGCTGTTCTTCGAGACGAACCTGAACAATACATAGTTGAATATTGACAAATTATATAGAATAATGAATTTTAAAGTCTGTGTTTCTGATTTAATTTACACGATGATAAGCTTTCTCGATTTAAGGTACACGGTTGGTAAAAAGTAATCGACGCGTTTGATATAATGTTCATAGTATACAATATGCAAATGATGTCAGAAAAGACAATGTTATTTAAGTATGTACCACAGGATTGAAGACAAAAATTTAATTTACCTGAACATGAAGACCAACGTTTAAATAAAATTAATCTTTTCGTATACTACGCGATTTTATTATTTTACACTACATACTCCAGACGTTTTGGTTACTTTGCAGCGATCGTGATCATGAAGACGAGATGTGAATGTCTGTCAGTTGTTCTTGTAGCGTAGTAATACGAAAATATTAGTTTCATTTACATAAATACTGAAGACTGAAGTCTTACATCTCATTATTTTTTCGCTAGTCTTATTTATTTAAGTGGAACTAATATTTTCCGAATGTAATCGCGTAGTACATCCGAAAAACATTCGTTTCATTTAAACATTATTCTATTCTTGTGTTTAGAACTTATCTATTACATTTCATATAGATTATATTTTATAATGTTTTTATTATATTACCTCTAACAGGTCACCTTCCATCATGAGATCTTCGAGTCTCTGCAGCATGGCGGGTGAGACTCTAGCTGTACTTGTTCTAGGTGTCGCACTGTACGCGTGCTCCACACTAGCTGACGACCTGCTGATGAAATAAATATACATAAAACAATAGAAAAAATATCAAATTTATCAAATATTTTTCAATATATTACAAAATTGAGTCAATACTAAAAAAATAAAGTTCCATAGGCCACCAATGCTTAAAAATTAACATAGAAAACATTAACTTTACTGTGACACATGATTATCTATAAAACAAATACAAAACTTAAAAAAAAGTTAAAGATAACAAATATCCTACTAATATTATAATTGCGAAAGTTTGTGAGTGTGTGTGTATGTTTGTTACTTCTTCACGCTCAAACGGCTGAACCGATTTTATTAAAATTTTGTAAACAGGAAGCTGACGTCCAGGAATAACATATAGGCTACTTTACATCCCGGAAATCCGCGGGTAACACCGCGGGGCGCACCTAGTTCAAAATAATAACCTACAAGTTAATCCTCATAGCCATAATAACATAATATATACAGTCAATCAGTCAAGTTACATCACATATATTATGTATCTGTTTAATATTCTTCACAGTACCTGTGCGCGTCTCCCCTCCCCTGCCGTTCTCCCCTCTCCCCCCTCTCCACGCGTGTAGTCGGTAGTGAGGCCAGTAACGCCCTAGCTGCGTCCTGCCAGGCCATGGCTCGCTCGGTCACACACTGTAGCGCTTCACCTTCAGCTAGACGTACGGGCAGCTTTTGTAGCCAAACCTATGTGAAATAGAATTATATGAAATTAAGCAATAATCACTCGATTTCATTTGATACTTAGTGATGTTTTAGTTTGAAATGGTAATATATAATATGTATTTTTTTTGATAATGTATGTATATAATATGTTGCTTTTTACTGAAGAAAATATGTTAAAGCTTTCCAATAATGTAGCTTACACATCAAAGTGTATGCAAGCTGTCTATTTACTAATTCTGTGTAGTTTGAACGGAAATATAAAATTTATATGTAATATAAAGTTAACCGACTTAGATGATAGATGTCGCTGACTTCAAAATTTCTATAATACACATTTAAATACAATTTTTATGTGTAAAAAACTAGTACATTATGTTTTGAATAATACAAAGTATACATACCAATAAAGCCAATATCCGATGTAATCTAGGTCGTTTTGTTCGTGCGCAGTCAGGGCAGAGGAACTTCGGTTCAGGCGCCGGCGAGGGCTGGGGCTCCGCCTCGGGCTCCGGTGATGACTCAGATTCCTCCGAGCGACTCGACAACACACAGGCCGCTGTGAGAATAATATAATATCAATATCTTGTCATCAGCCTATCAGAAGCCCACTGCTGAGCAAAGGCCTCTTTCTCACATGGAGAAGGTTTGAGCATTAATCACTACGCTTGCTCAAGACGGGTTGGTGATTTCAAAATTATAATTGTGAAAATATAAGTCCAGGTTTCCTCACGATGTTTTCCTTCACCTTATGTCAGTAATAATAATATCAATAATAATATAAATATCTACATATTATTATTATTTTTTCATCTGTGTGTGGAATTCCTAATACAGCACATGCTGAGTGATTCTCCTTTTTGTGACTTCATACTGCTGTGTAGGCAGCATATTGTTTTGATTTATTTATACCTTCTATTCTGTTATCTTCATTAGATATTCTTTAATTGTATTGTTATTTTATGTTTTTGTTTTTTATTTCTGTTTATGTTAGTGCTGTCTCACAAAGATATTCACAAATAAAACATATCTTTCTTTCTTTCTTACATACGTTCTATGGGATTTAGTGGTCTATCGAGAAATTGTCAATTGAGTTTTCCTGATTGTTTTAGATTATATGGATTTTTAATTTTGTTAATTGTAATCATTGAGTAAACTGGACATAAAAATTCAACAATTATAATGTATAACATATATTAGAGTAGTTTATTTGTATGGGTAGAGACAGTACAAAGTTATATAGTTCTATACCCATCATGGTGACTCCTAGATATATTACAAATAATTTTCTCAATTTCTATTTGAGGTACATTTAGCAATTCCGTAAAATATATAAAATTATAAGCCTTGTGTTTTTTTCACATGTATAAACATTAATATATCAAAGATATCAGTTTATATATATTACTAGTCTTTGTCCCGCGACTTCGTCCGCGTTAGTTTGATCAAGAATAATATATGTAGGTATAGCTGACCAGGCGAACTCTATTCCGTCTTACAGGCCATAAATAATCAGGTTTTTCCTGTTTCAATCAAACAGAATGATTGACATATTAGTTAGTTGTCAAATCTAATGTCAAAAAAAACGTTTGTATGGGAAATAGAAAAGGGCTGTTTTAGGAATTTCCCGGCAAATATTCAAATTTTTCTCACCTTTTATACCTTCCCTGAACCTCCACGAACATTTCAAGACTAAGATAAGATAAATCCGTTCAGCTGTTCTCGAGTTTTAGCGAGACTAAGGAACAGCAATCCATTTTTATATATATAGAAGATAAGAAACAATATATTGTGTTTCTTACCATGGAACCAGTCTTTGCAGAGCTCACACTGCGTCATCACTCCATACTGTCTCTTCTGACACACACAGAAAGTAACGCCGGGAGCCGGCGTTCGAACCTCCTTCCGCATATTTTTAGCTCTGCCATTAGAAAATATTCAATTAATTATACATATATATAACATACATGGACTTTATTTGCATTAATATTTTTGTAATGAATATAATTATACAGGGTGACTGGTGAATTACTATCAATATTTAAAGAGAATACTCGGTACATGATTCTCATTCGAATTATGTAAAAAAATAGGCACTTAATTTTTGACAAAATTTCCGTATAAATAAATAAAGTGTTGACACGTTCCAAGTGTTCCAAGTGTGGACGCGTGCGGCGGCGTGCTGATACAACACCACGCGCCGCACGCCTATGTGTGTGTGTGTGTGTATACCTAATCTGTAGGGTGTTCACACGATGCGTAATTAATTACATAACTTTTGGTTAACTTTACTTAGAAGTTTATTATTATTTATGTTATATTAATTTTTATTTTGTCATATATGATCGTCAAATATCACGTCCTCAAATATCGATAGTAATTCACCAGTCACCCTGTATATGTAGGAAATTATTATATTGTTTACATACACATGTTGGTATTTCTTTATGCTATATCAATATAACACAAAGTTTATAGCAATTTTGTAAAAAATGTTTGGTATTTCTTACCAAATTGCCCACACAGTCATACCGTGATCCTGAAATTGAACAGGTCAGTGGAAAGTGTATGATGTGCTCGCTAGAAGTAGGCACAGAATTATATGTATATAAACTTATGTTATAAAATATCATTATAGGTTTTTTTTATGACAAAGGTGGCATACGAGCAGACATCCTACCTGATGTAGGTAGTTCCGTCGCCCATGGACATCCGCAACATAGGTAATGAAGTTGCGTTGCAACCCTTGATTGAGGAAAAAGGAGAGGAAAGGGTGGGAAAAGGGAAGGGCAACCTTCTCTCTCACTCATCGGAAGAAATGCAGCTATTTTAGTCTACTTCACGCCGATCTTCTGTGAGAGTGGTAATTCCCCGGTCGAGCCAGCCCATGTACGAGCTGCAGTATTTGGCCACAGCTAGGCTCTACAGAATTGCAAAGTCTTAGTTCTTTGATTATTTTCAAATATAGTAAGGTGAAATTTCCATGTACTTAAGTAAAGTAGAAGGTTAAAAATATAGCTTCATACTTTAAATGTGTATGTTATTTTGATTAACCAACCTTTGACGATATCATGTAAATATCATCATCAACAGCCTATCGGTGCCCACGCTCACTCAATGCGAATTGGTGATTTCAAACTTATAATTTGAAATTATAAGTCATCAATGTTTTCCTTTACCATATGTCAGTGGTGTCTAACTAATCTTAGACAATACATATCTTCTTCTACCCAGCAATTTCCCAGCCTTAGCCAGGGTCTGCCTTACATGTTGTGAATAGTTTTTGGCTAATTGTTTTTACTACCGGCCGCCTGCCTGACATCAACCCTCTTTGGGAATGCATTAATCAGTGATGTCTAAATACTCTTAGAAAGTACATATGACTCGAAAAAATCACATTGGTACTTGTCAGGGCCAGGGTCGAACCCGCGCCCTCATACACGAAGGCGGGACTTTAACTTCTAGGTCACCACGACCTATATTATATATAATATTTCCTACAGACCTGAGTTCCTTGATAGCAGCCAGTTCCCTTTGTTCCGCCTGCTTGAAGGCCGCCACTATTTCTGTAGGAGTAGCTTCCTCACTAAAGTGTTGTAACAATCCTTCAGAGTCCCCTTTCTTCCGACGAGGCGCGCACTCCGAACGAGGAGACAACGCCTCCAATAAAGAATAAGGCCAGTTCTGGAACATATTGATTATAAATATAGATATTATGTTTATTAGACAAGTATTTAGATAGATTAAAAATATATTCAAAACGTCATTTAATATTTTATTTTATATTATGAATTAAGAATCTGATATATTTTTAATTAATTTCGTATGATCAAGGAATAAACTCCCATGATTTTAATATACATATTCTATAAAGTTTACTATCAGGTACGGATAAAATTAATCTCCATATAAATTACCAATATGAGTTAATAAAACAGTTTAATATATTTTTGACCTAACACTTCAAAGATTTAATATCTAATTAACTAATCACAAGTCTATGAGGCTTTATATTTTCGACTACATATTTAAATATTTAATATTCTTAGTAATAAATTGAACTAATTGTATATGTCGGTACCTTCTTAAGGAACATATCAGCGGCTCCTCTCTGCCAGTCCCTGGCTGACAGTAGCGCTGCTGCCAAATGTCTCTTCTCGAGCAGAGCCACAGGTATCTGTGCTCCACGCTTGCACAGAGCTTCAACACTGTGCATGTATGGATATAATTCCTTTGATTGCATTTCCTCCACCTGGAATTAAACAATATTATTTAAAGGTAATTTTAACCTTCACCACATTATTATATATAATTATATATACAGTTAGGAACTCCTTGGACAAGAAACCAAATAGAAGCAGTGAACAAAAGAAACGTTGACACACTTTCTGATGGTCCGTCGTCGAGGCGACATCGCTCAAGGGTTTTGACTGTTAATATTGTGTTATTAATTAGTTTAAGGCTACTTTAAGGATATTACTCTGTAAGTACTTTAATTGTTGTTTAACTGGAGTTAGCAGTTCATCATTTTATTCCTTAGTTTACCGTTTATATTTGTTCATTTTAATTAATATCACATAGTTAAATTGTCAAATGTCATACTGTTATTTTATCTTTAAAAAGTCGAACGAAGTTTGACTTTAACTTAATACATAAATGCATTATTAAATCTTTATGAACATTTCCAAATTATTGAATGATGATATATTATTTATATGATAGATATATACCTTGGCAAGCCAGTCTTTGGCGTGTGCAGCGGCTGTAGCCAACGCATGTCTAGAGGGCAGCGCTGCTTCCACTTCATCAGCAGCTGCTAACAACTCTTCTAAATCAGCTAGCGTAGTGCGTGAATCATCATCGCGTTCCCGGTTTGTGTCCAATATAGCTCGGGCTTTCTGTTCCCAATCTTCAACTTGTACTAAAACAATAATTATATGAGATTTAATAACGTTACAAGCTATTGATAGCTAAATAACTGTCACATACATTTGATAATGAAGTTTGTGTAATCTATACTCCTAAGATTGAAATATATGTTTGTAATTTAAAATAACACATACATATGCACGTAAACACTGTATGTACGCTAAAAAATGAGTAATTTAGGCTACTTATATATTGGAATATTCTATATATAATGTTCGATACTAACATTTCAATTTATAAAGCCCAGCCCGTTCCGTTTCAACTTTCCTATGCGGTAATACCGTCTCTGCTTCAGCCAGCAGTTTGTCAATGATCTCTGGTGTGAGTGAGGCGGAGTCCTCGCGATGTGTACGAACAGACAATATGAACTTTTCTTGCTGAAGACGAGCCTGAAGCGCTGATAGCTGTGGCAGAACTATACAGAGACGGGAGCCGAGGTCGACGACCTATGGAGAAACATTAATATTAATAGATATAAATCTATAACAAAGACACAAGTTATAAATTGAAGAGAAATATAAATGACACTTTAACTATGCATTATAGAACATATCTGTGAAATTAAAAATAGATTTACGTGTTTCTAGTGTACCAGGATTAATTAACGAGGCCTTTCAAAGTAACATGGAGTAGTTGACACTTTCATCTCGACTGTGCTTGGATTAATATAACACGTTAGTAATTCAAAAACATATAAATGCTTAGAAGCCAATTAACATTGATTACTAAAATTTTATCTGCTCCATTATAGTTCTCAGTTAATTTAGACTAATAAGTTTATGATAACTTATCCTCCACAAATATTAACATAACGTGATTTTACAGAAACATTCATATATAAATATTGATCCAGACTGTGTAATGTCTGTCCCTCAAGGTCGTTCATACCTCTTCTAATTCCCTGACAGAGGCAGCGTCACAGTCGTCCAAATCTCTCCCCAGCAGTGTGATGGCTCTGTCCTCAAACTCAGCTGTCTGACGAAGCACTTCTTTAACAGCGGACCCTGGAGCGATAAACACATTTAGTAACTTCTTTAATTATTTTACCTATCACATCAAAAAATCTATATTTGTTATAAAAGCTTAAAATAGAGTTATATTTAACGTTTCCCATAATAGACAAAAAATACCTGAAAAATGTCTTTGATTTATTATACATATACATGTGGTATGAATAACAACACTATAATATAGTATCCATGAATATGTTTATATCAAATTACTCTTCCATAATGTTTATAAGTGAACTTAATGTCTATTTAATATAAGACATGTTTAACCCAGACTGCATATGATAATTGTTTTTCCTTACAAACGTTTTAGGTGTATGCGTATAAACGTGTGTGTGTATGTATGTGTGTGTGTATGTATGTGTGTGTTACCTTCTGGCAGCACACACGCCAGTCCGTCTATCTCAGCAGCGAACAGCGTCAGTTCGTGTATGGTGAGGCGGTACTTGGGGTCGTGATGCCTGGTCCTTGTCCTCATCTTATTCAGATCCAACTGTTGAATCACAGACGCACATTTCTCAGCGTCCTCTATCGCAGTTTCCAATGCACGCACCAGTTCCGTCTTGTGCATCTGTAGTAATTATTATTTTATTGTTAATTCTTTTAGTTTCTATTATATACCATACCATCAACTTTGAAGAAGATAAAGGTTAAATATTATTTACTTTTTAGTTTCTACCAAATGCATATATAATATTCAAATTTCTATTTAAGTATAACATATTATAATTTATAATAGATGATGACATAAGAGCGGTACGCCAGAAAATTGAGAAATCGATGACGGTAGATAATAAGACCAACTGACAGACATTCACATCTCGTCTGCCCGTGATCACGTGAAACGTCGGGAGTATGTACTTAAAATATTAAAATACGCGTAGTATAATCCAAATAATATTAGTTTAATTTTGATGACGTCATTCCATCTGTTGAAACTGTCATATTATTATATGTTAGAGCTAACCTTCAGATCGTGAGCCCTCTTCAGATGCCCCCTCAGTCCGTCAAGGTCACATGTTTTGGGCGTGTCCGGATCTAAAGCATTCTGCACGGCCTCCGCCCACTCGCGGAACTGTTCCGATTTACGCTTTAACTTCTCAAGCATAGCCGGGAGCTCGTCTAGTGTGTAGCGATATCTAAACAGTGAAAAAAAATTGTAATATTGCAATAAATACAATAACTAGGTATGCTAGTCTTATAAAAGTACAAGACGTGTTGTCAACTGATAAAAAAAATTGTTATAATTACATAATATTCAATGTTTATGAAGACAATTAAAACGAGACATGCCTAGTCTTAGAGACAAGAACAAAATTCAATGCAATTATGTTTTAAGAAAATGCTTTAGTTTCTATAGTGAGCAGTGATATGCTCTCCTTATACGCACTCCACACGTTAAACTATTAAACCTATATTCTTATTTACGTACTTTACTTCACATTTCACTCAAAACGAGTATTCATGAATAAATATATTTATGAATTTGGTAAAAGTGCCATCTATTGAAAGTAATTACAAACTTTATGGGCCGCTCACTACAAGCGCCACCTTATTTGCGTAAGCAGTACTAACTACTACTCAATGCGTATTCTAAATACACATTTCAAAATCGTGTTTGTGGTTTGAAATACCCTGTTTCTTACAATCCGATTCCGTTTATTGGAAAAGGTCTATTTACTTTTCTGGTATACTATTTAATTATGTATTATTATTTTTATTTTATGATAACTTTTTGAACTCCAGTAAATAAATTGTAATTATTCAATTTACTCATTATAGATGTATATTACTAAGGTATTGGATGATGTATGTTTATATAAATTAAGTCTTACCATACATTCTACCTATGTAACCTCAAATCTCTGTTTATGCCCTCATCAAGAGAACATTTGTTACTTTTATACTCCAAGGTCAATGAACTCTAATATGAATTACAATCCAAAAATCACAAACCTCATATACATCAAACAGTATATAGTAACAATACTAAGTTACTTATTAATAACCGTACCTTAGTTTGTGTTCCGCCGGCGAACAACTGCACAGTTGATCGTAGTGCCGCAGACATGCGATTTGTGTAGTACAGGCGCATGTAACGCACGACAGGAAACACGTCGTCTTACACTCGTGACATTGACGCTCATCATCTGGGAGGAGTTCGAATGCCTCACGCTCAGCCTCCGTTACACCCTGATTGATAACACATACATATATCATATTACAGATATTTATATATGCCTGTGGACTTCAGAACTAGATATTAAGATATAAATATCCAATTCTATGCTATAAACAACATTTAAATATTCAATTTCTCCCCAACCTCCCCATATAACATACCCAGTCAAGTAATCCCTTCCTTAACTTCCTCTCGTCATGTAACATAGTCCTCATGTCTCTGTACGCGGCCAGGGCCACGGTCAGACTGAGTGAATCCGCCTCCAGCGCCATCTTACAGACGAGCTCGTCGTGAGAGAACACGCAATACCGCCGTAGAGTGGAGTAGTGGGTGATGCACTCGCGACCCATTTTTAGCTGAAGTATTTATTATAAGTAATAATTCATATAGATTGCAATAGATAGTTATTTGTATAGAAAACTGCTAATTAGCAAAAGAATTGTATGAAGAATTTAGATACAAAACAAAAATGTGCCCTAACTATAAACCACTTTTAAATAATTTCTCAATGCAATGTATTATAAAAATAATACCAGGAAATAGAATATAAACGATTATGTACACACCCAATCGGCTGGTGTGAAGTTGACAGCCTCGGCAAAGTTATATCCTTGATTGAAACCGGCGTGGTAGGCGCGGGGAAAGGTTATAACAAACTCTCCAGCATGTTGATCAGTCCTATAAAACAAAATACATTAGAACTCCTTAGTTTGGGAACTCCTTTATATGATCAGTGTGACTACTATTTATTAAACATTTAATTTTTCTTTGGGTTTCGTTATACAATTGATTTATTTACTTCCAGTTTATCTGAACATCGCTTCAAGTAATATATGATAATATAAATAAACTAGTATCATAGTAGATTTGTTATATCAGAATTCCTTTTGTATACAGGGTGACTGGTGAATTACTATCAATATTTAAGGAGAATACTCGGTACATGATTCTCATTCGAATTATGTAAAAAAAATAGGCACTTAATTTTTGACAAAATTTCCGTAATAATAAGTAAAGTGTTGACACGTTCCAAATGTTCAAGTGTGGACGCGTGCGGCGACGTGCTGATACAACACTACGTCACGACACGCGTATGTGTGAGTGGCAGTGTATACCTAATCTGTAGGGTGTTCACACGATGCGTAATTAATTACACAACTTTTGGTTAACTTTACTTAGAAGTTTATTAATATTTATGTTATATTAATTTTTATTTTGTCATATATGATCGTCAAATATCACGTCCTCAAATATCGATAGTAATTCACCAGTCACCCTGTATATATTTATTGCTTCTATACAGTAATACCCCGCTTAACGCGACCCCGTTTTGCGCGGTTTCACTATAACGCGATTTTCAAAAATTTATTCAGGTTGGGACACTGCAGAGTATAGACAATAATGATGACCGTGTCTTGAACGTGTGTGAAACGATTAAAAACAGTGTTTGGTGTTATGAACGTATTTTACAAGAACGTAAACAAAACGCTACCCAAAAGACAATACATGTATTTGTTCGTAAAAAATAGGAGTACCTATGTATGTATTGTATAGTGTTCTTAGAATTAAAGTGATTGATTAAAATGATTTTTATATTTGTGTATTAAATTTTGACTGTGTTTAATCATAAACCTCGATATACGCGATATTTAGTTAACGCGATTTTCTTCGGAACGTATCCCTCGCGTAAAGCGGGGTATTACTGTGCTAGCTTTTGCCGCGACTTCGTCCGCGTGGAATAGTGACTTCCGGCAGATTTTTGGTTCTTCCCACATAGTTCCCGTTCTTGCGGGGTTTTCGGAATGGTCGAGTTCCCGTAGAATTTTCAGGATAAAACCTGTTTTTTTTTTATTCACAATGAAGTACTCTTTACCAACAACATATTTATTTGTTTATTTGAATAAAGATTAATATTATTATGTTGATAAACTTAAACAAATTATTTCGACCAAATTAGGTACCATCAAAACGGTTTTTGTGAGTTAATCTTAAAAGATAGACATATACTGTGGCGGACTGTTTTTCAGATCATTAAAAGAGCTATTATTCTTTGATACATATTTTTTGTGTATCTTGAACCGTTTTCACGGCGCACGCAACGGAAGGCTTCAAAGATGAAATAATTTCTCCCGTTTTTTACACATTTACCACTATATCTTTGCTCCTATTGGTCGTAGCGTGATGTTATATAGCCTACAGCCTTCCTCGATAACTGGACTATCCAACACAAAAAGAATTATTCAATTCGAACCAGTAGTTTCGGAGATTAGCGCTTTCAAACAAACAAACTCTTCAGCTTTATAATATTAGTATAGATTAAAATTTTAAGGATAATTTAATTCTTAACTACAGTACTTGTACTATATTTATTATGTACCTGTAGACTGGTACTCCAGCTTTCATGAGCACGTTAGGGTTCATGATGGTGACCAGCTGATGCAGCAAGTCCGGCTGTAGCTGGAACAGCTCGGGCGCCTCGGCCTTCATAGCAGCTTCAAACTGTTCCGCTTTGGAACTTGGTACGCCGTACCTGAGGAAATAATATATATATGACAAATACATACACACACACACACACACACACACACATATATATGTACATACAAACGAAAATATACAGTACCCTCAGTAGATAATAAATAATCTATCCACTAGTGCCTTTGTTCTAAAGGATTCAGATGAGTATAAGACTACATGCGGTGAAATAATAAATGATAAATGTTGAGAGAAATTCAGACAACCATATAGGAAACAAGTCTTTAAATTGATTAACAAATTAGTATCAGAATTTTATATATGTTTTTGATTTCAAACTATTCTAGTTATAAAATAGAATAACACATCAACAATGCCATTGATACACAGTTGTAACACGTTATTATAAAATCTATTTATGTTTAATTCAACTGGCGTTTACATTTGATTTACATTTAAAATGACTTTGTAAATATTACTTACAATAAATAGAAACCGGTTTAAAATACATTAATATTGAGAAAGATTTCTATTTAATTAATTTTATGAGAATAAGAAATCTTATTTAAGACACAATTACTAGGACGTCATTCACTATAGTATTTTATAATACTCTTAGCTTAATCACTTACAATGTTGTTTAATCAGATTTAGAAGCCTTATAACTTTCATCACCAATCAGTACTTACCAAGTTATTTATTTTTAGATATTCTATAAATGACCATGCTTCAAAATAAGGATTCAAATAGAGAATATATTATGGTAATACAATGTATGGAGAGTATATAATTCCTTGAAGTGAGTAGGATTTGAACTTGCTACCTTTAGAATATCATGTCCCAAAGTTACTTTACCAATTAAGCTGGCGTGTATTGTAAACAGTCAGCCTATATAGAACGGTCACATAGGGACATTAAGTTTTCTTAAGAAAATGCTTATCAATATTTTTTTTTTAATCTTCGAACTACAGAAGCTTTTTAAATGTTACATAATAATAAATCTAAACAATAATGTTTTTATCATTCGGCAGTATTCAATATGACTAGACTTTTTAAACTTATCATGTATGTATTGTTTGTGTTAAGTAGCAAACTGAATGAAATCAACTAAAATAATAAATTAATCTACCTACATTATACTTGACATCATATTATTATATATATTCAACAGTATAACTAATACATAACACATACCATGTCTTTGGTTCTCCCCAGTGTAAGTAATTGATGGAATAACTCCAATGGTCTTCATTGTGCCAGCAGAATGTGGCAAAACACATGCCCACATATAGCCAAGGTACCTGAATAATAAATCAATATTAAAATATATTATTATGATAATATGAATTAACGACTTTAAAGGTAATTTTTTCACAATTAGTAATTATTTAGTGTTTAATTTATTACTAATAGTGAAAAATTACCTCAAAAATCGTTGAGTTAGAAAATATTTCAGCTCAAACTTTCTTCTGATAATTTGCTTCCAATGTAGATACGCGGAATTATCCAATGGTGGTTATGCGAAATTGCACTATCTACGACGATATTACATGTTTATAAATTAAAATACATCATCATTAAAATACTATTTGTAGTATAAACTACATTGCAAACTTTAAATTAACTATATTTAAGGTACAAAATAAGTAATTAGTGATATTACTTTACCTTCATCCCGGATATGTCTGCATTTATATGTCCAAGTACAGATCCCTCTAACACTGGCAAGTTGTTGAGATTCCATGAGGATTCAGCATATTGCTGTTCCCCGGGATACAGATGGGCACTGGATTTTGTTGGAAAACCTAGTACAGAAATGTATAATTTTCCTATAAATAAATTTTGCATCTTTGTTACTACTCTATGGATATTTATTATTAATTATATCACTATTTAGTATAAAAATTTTCATTTATACTATTGAATCATCCATTGTAATTGATATTGATGAATGATATTCTATTGTTATAATTTCTCATATTCTTTTATGTATGTGGTTCATTGTTAATATTGTTTAAAACTTTGTAACGATTTTTATTCTTTTTGTGGTAACAACCAGAAAATTTCACAGTAGACAAACCATAAAGAATCCTACTTAATGTAATAAATTATATATGTATAAAAATTCTACATTTGACTTCAACTTTTTATTTTGCTATATAGATTTAATGACGAATCTGAAGCAAATACTATTAAAGAGGTCCTTCTATATACTGATGTTAAAAAAAATATGTGAACTATGGAATAATAACATTTACTCCAATTAATGAACTGCCATATCATTGTTATTACTCATTATTCTTTGCATTTTTTACATATTTAGATTATATGGAAGAAAGTTTGAATGTTTCTTGTTTTTTTAGATAATACACAGACAAGTTTATAATTTATAGGAATTAAGAAATACCTGAACCATGGTCCATTGAATGCAAATCCGCTCCATATTCAACAGTTACGTCTTCATCTATAGATGACACGACGCGCCAGAATTCTCGCTCCACCGTCGACGTGGGCACCATCTATGTTTAAGCCAATACACATTAATAAATATTCCTCATATATATTTATTAATATTATCTTTATACACTTACATGTACCGGCATATTGAAGTAATCCGATTTGAATTGATCAGCCATTTCTCCGAACTGCTGTAATGTATATTCACGGCTAGCTTGCTCAAAGCCGAAAGCCTCAGTCGGTTTTGATACCTGTATATATAAATTTGTTTTCATATAATCGATTTTTACATCTACTAGTCCAAAGAAAAATTGTACATGTGCTTAATTATTATATATGTGTGGTCCTCAGTAGTAAAAATTAGGAATATGTGCAAACTAATGTATAATTTACGTTAAATTTAATGTAAATGTTAGATAAATGTTTCGTTTTTGTCATACCTCTTCAGCCAAACACACGGGGCACCTCCAGTCTCCCTTGGGCACGTCGGCTAGCGGTGGAACCAAACAGAATGTGTGGTAGGAATCATCACAGCCATCACACAACAGCATCTGTTCCTCGATGTCTCCACGCCCGCATATATGACACATGTACTTCGCGAGCTATAGATTAGATTACTAGTTATTATCCGAGTCTTTACCCGCTGTGACTTAGACATCGAAAAAATTACATAAGCACAGGTGTTAAAACTATTATTAATTATAGCGACATCTATTATGAATGTCATGTGACTTCATACAAAATACAAGTTATATCGTGTTAAATTGAGAACTATTCGGCATTCCATATAAATTCTATGCAATGTCTTCTCCTGATGTCCAAGACATATTACTGTAAGTATCATCAAATTCTGTTAAGCAATTTTTGCGAGAGAGCAGCAACCATACTTACATTTATACGAAGTCGCGTATTCATTAATTTTCTATGACAGTATAGAATGGGTAAGAATTGGTAGATCTAACTTAATGGCGTATGGAAGCCATAGTATAGCAATGATTGCTTTGTATTATAAACAAAATAACGTTCATACTGTTTGTAAGCTAACTCTTGTAATGTATTGTGTCTATTGGTTCAATTTAGATTTACTCTTAAGCAACAAAAGCATTATTATCAGTAATACCAAACAATATAATAATATAGTTCGTTGCTGTACATAATTACTTAGCAATTGAATATCTGTAATCTTTGTCTCAGGAATAGCTATTACCTAATATAAGTATTTTAATTAGTTTAATATTTATTCTTATGAGTGTGTGCAAAATTATTTGTCCTATTTAAATATGCATACTAATTTGCGACCACAACTTTGTCCGCCTGGACTAAAGAATTGGTTTTAGAGTGAAATAATTATCAACTTATTTCTTTTTTCTATTTCGTTCCGACGTAAGCTATCCTACATCCTTTTCCTTCTTCTAGACTATCCCTCTTAAAATTTTAAGCCAAATCCGCACAGCCGTTCCCGAGTTATAAACTGTGTAACCAACAAAATTTGTTGGAAAGTTCCGTCAAACTCAACAATTTCCACGTTAAGGTACAATAGATTCCATATATAACATATATAATATGTAAAACATTTCAGGTCTTAAATATTACCTATTTTTAACAATATAAAACAAAGCTAAGTCACTATAGCCGAAAACGGCTGGGTAGACATATACAGGGTGACTGGTGAATTACTATCAATATTTAAGGAGAATACTCGGTACATGATTCTCATTCGAATTATGTAAAAAAAATAGGTACTTAATTTTTGACCAAATTTCCGTATAAATAAATAAAGTGTGGACACGTTCCAAGTGTTCCAAGTGTGGACGCGTGCGGCGGCGTGCTGATACAACACCACGCCGCCGCACGCGTGTGTGTGTGTGTATACCTAATCTGTAGGGTGTTCACACGATGCGTAATTAATTACATAACTTTTGGTTAACTTTACTTAGAAATTTATTAATATTTATGTTATATTAATTTTTATTTTGTCATATATGATCGTCAAATATCACGTCCTCAAGTATCGATAGTAATTCACCAGTCACCCTGTATATAAAATATTTAGGCAGACCCTGGCTAAAGCTGGGAAATTGCCAGGAAGAAGAAGAAGAAGAGATTCCATATATAACATATATTTGTTTGTATGTGTGTTTGTCTGTTTCTTACCGGGTCGTCGGGATGTAACGGGGGAGGCGCGGGCGTAACGGACACCGTCATATTACTGAAGCGGTGTTCCCTCAGTCGCTTGGAGCGGACGGCGCGGGCTCGGGCTCCACAGCTACCCGCCTGGGACATCCATTTGTTCTCACGCGGACCTGGGGAATAAACAACTGTATAACGACTTATTATATCTAAATCATAATAGAATTGATGTAAATTCGTATGCTTCTATTAATGTATAAAAACTTATTGTATATAGTCTGTGAGCTGTTGTGGTAATTAGATATTTAATTATATAATTATATTTCAAATCAATATTGTTTCATTAGCTCTGCAATAAACAGAAACATTATTAAAGCTGTAGATTCCGAATACTTTCACACATGTGTTCAACTAGAAATACAAGATAACTTTTATATTTAAGTCTAATAGGCAATCATTTCTCTAAAAATAACAAAACAAATATGAAGTTTTTCTTTTTCTTAACAGTTTGAACTAATTTATTTCATTTAACTCCAAAAAACTGATGCACTCATCAAAAAATTTAATCAACATTCATAGCTACTTATAATAAATTATTTTACATATACATTTATATATGTATAGTATTCATATGTTTTTAAATATTGCCATACATTAAGTTAACATCATTAAATTCTATTTCCTTCTGACTTATAATCTCATATGTATAGCTATGGGTATATATGACCATTTAATTATGTTCTTTATTGAATTCTATACACCCTGTAAAACTAATGATCTCATATATATATATGTTTTATACTAACTCCTCCTTGTTTCTCCCGGTTCTTCCTTGATGGGAGTTTTCTTCACGTCTCCCAATGGCAGAGCCCCCTCCGTGTGGCTGCCCTCTGCCGGCTCGGGCTCCGAGCTCTTGAACCGCCGGGCGGGGGGCGGAGTCGCCGCCGGGGGCTTGCTTGACCTGCGACCCTTCTCTGGTGTTTGTTCGCCTTTTACTTCTATCTTCTGTTGAGAAAATTTCATGTACATATAACTATACTTTATAACATATATTCAATTAAAACAATTATTTCTGTTAATAAATTGAATTAAAAAAAAATCTTTTTCATGTTTATTTGTACAACAATATCGGAGTTTGTGCTATTTTCGAAAAAAAAATGCATTCTTCTAACATGAGACGTTACATATATGAAATTTCACGTCGTAATAATATTTAATGTTGTCATAAGTGTATACTAACGGTTTCTTTGCTATCATTTCCGTTGCCAACAGCGCCACTGCTCTTGAAAACATCGTACGGGTAGAGGATCCTCTCGTAGTGATTCTTGAGAATCGAACCTATACCTTTACCCTGTGGATGACCCATGCGTCGTGCGATCTTCGACCATTTCCTCTCCGCTGAACATACTTCGAAACCACCTGTACATATAAAAACATTAATATATACATATACAAACATTTTAATACTATTGACATAACATTTTCTTTGTAGTGATGATATGAAAATTTCAATATAGAAAGTCCATATAATCGCGTTGTAATGTATGCTCGAGTGTATGAATTCACACTGATAATTAAAAGTACCACTTACCAGCTTCTTTCACAATTTTATGTAGTGCATACAAATCTAATGGTTTCCTTTCCACCGTTGGTATCTTCAATATAGAGCCTTGAAGCTCCCAGAACTTGATTATCTGATCCAGGAAATTTAACTTCACTCTTGTGATTGCCTAGAAATTAACAATAATAAATGAAACTATCCAAAATATTAGTAATGTAATAAATTCCATATTAATGATATATTTATAAATTAATTAATACAAAATTCAAAATAACTTTCCAATATTAATTAATAAACTGTATATAAATAAAAAGAAATCAATAATTCCTATAACTAAACTAAAAATATACAATTACCTCTAACTCATTTAACCGTTGAATCCGAGGGGTAAATCTCAGTCGGTCTACATCCACAGCAAACGGAGGTTGCCAGTGCTAAAATAAAAAAAACATTGATAATTACTATTATTACAATAGCAACACATGTTTTAATTTTTTCAGCCATATTCAATAGATCTGAAATAAATACATACAAAGAATAAAGGATATTGAACCTAACAATTTATTATTTACATCTAATAAGACAGGAAACTAGGGCATTGATTTAAACTGGGTCTATGCACTGAATAAATTGTAAAATCAATAATCATTTCATATTCCAACCTGGCAACACCAGTTACTGAAAATGTTATAATGTTATGTAATTTATTTAACAGCTAAATTAAAGTAATTATATAATCTTTATCACAAGTGACAATTAGTATATACCTTGACAAAGGCTTTATATTACATGATAAACAAATAATAACCCTTTATATTGTCTGACAATTCTTATACATTTCAATATAGTTGACTACAAAAATATTCAGGTATAACTTGAAGTAAATGGTGAGTAATGTAATGTTACTCATTATTTTATCCTTATGACAATATATTCTAAGTAAAATATATTTGACACTTTTTACAGTGAACAATATTATATATTTAGGCAGGCCCTGGCTAAAGCTGGGAAATTACCAGGAAGAAGAAAAAGAATATTATACATATATTGTCATAGTTGTTTAGTATGGAAATTATATAATTAATTATAACTATAATTATTTTTCACTTAAAGATTTTTTTGATATGACACACAGACAGAGACAGTTGTGATTCTCAGTTTATTTAAAGAAGCCTATAAAATAGGTACTGCACATACATTGAACTAATTAAATTTCATCTCCATACAGACATTTTTCATTTGTCAAACAATTAGGTTCACAAAATATTTGTTCAAAAAACTTGAAAATATAAAATGGATTAAAATACTGCTATTATCAAGTAGTTACAAGCTAATAGGTAGGTATATATAGCTGACTTAAGCATAACACAACTTTAATTTAACCTTATAAAAACATAGTTGTAACAAATTAAGTGGCATTAACAAATCAAGACTATTAAGGCTTGATTAAAACCTAGTTAAGCTACTTTGTCAACACAATATTATTTCTTATAATGTGTTACCAAAAATAAAATTTCTTAGATCAAAGTAGCATAAATTACTCTGTTTTATAAAACCTATCTTCTAGTGGGTTTTGTCAAAACCAGTCCAGCACTTAAAAATTTCTGGAAAATAATTTTGGTGTAAGTACAGTGCATACTTCATATGCATTTATTCTAATACTAGCTTTTGCCCTCGACTTCGTCCACGTGGAACAGTGACTTCCTTCAAAAAAGTAAAGATAGCTGTGCCCGCGGTGGAAGCTTTAAAAATTGAGTAACTTCTCCCGTTTTCCCAATATTTCCCTTCACTGCTTTGCTTCTATTGATTGTAGCGTAATGAAAAGTATACTATAACCTGCCCAAGAGTATGAAGAATAATTGCACTAAATTCTGTGCTAATTCTGACAAAAATTTTACTGATTACATTTTGGTATCAGTAGCGATCCATAACCACCCCCTGATAGTTATTTTTTAAATATATTTTATGTATAGAATTGACCTCTCTACAGATTTATTATAAGTATAGATTACATACATATACTAACAATTTTCTTTGTTTATATAGATAATATCTTTCTTGCTGTTTCATAATCTTCAATTAAGGAAATTCATTATTAAATTATAATTTACGTATACATGACATATATTGTGACTTTACACATGAAAACATATTAAATAAAATGTCTATCGGTTAAAACTACAATATGTTCTTAGTTCCTTGTAATTGGATATATATAGCTTTTGACGGCTTAGTTCAGTTTGATACCACTATTTCTGTTATATATATACATATGTCTTATTTTAATATAAAAACATTCATAATTGTGTTTCACACAGAAGAAAAAACCATGAATGTAATTGTTTTTACCTATTATCATAACACATAACATAATGTTTACAAATTTTAAATATATATCAAATTGTAATGTAAAAAAATAAATATTAATAGTGTTTATAAGAAATATTTGAAGATAACAATAGTATTGAGAAATATAAAAATATAAATTTATTTTTTTGTTTCATACATTTTCATATCTTAGTTTGAACATAGTTTTCTATTCTTAGACAACCGCTGACATCTACACAGACAATTTTGAAATTTTGGGGTTTTCACTAACTTCTATTATTAAATGTGGTAATGGGTTTTTCAGTATTTCTTTCAGACTTATTATTACATATAATATACACAAATATAATCCACAATTTTTTATCCATACCATATATTACTCCAATGTATATAATAAAATATATAGAAAGACTAAAACAATTAATATTATGCTACTACTTCCTAGCAATTGTCAAGTTACAGCGGTTTTACCAGAAATATTAACAGAGTAAGTTACATGAGTATAACATTTTCTAATTTAATAAACTCGTCAAAAACACGGAACTGTATTTCTTCTATATATACATATATGTGATGGATATTTATCTTATTACATAACTCAATAAACAATTTGCTTTTATTCTACAAACAACACATTATGAACACTAATTAACATGGTTTTGTTATACACATTTTGAACATATCCACTTATAACACTTATTGTATTTACACACAGTTGTAATCTCAATGACACGCACATGTATATAATTATTTAACCCAAAATTGTTCTATATTTCTCTATATTCCCAAAAAAATCATTGTCCTTTTTAACAAGCACCACAATTCAAGTCTCCCTTATTAATTGTGTTAGTTAATTAATTACTTCACTTATATATTCTTCAACTAAATTAACGGATTTGACACTTTTTTTAACATATTATATTAACTTTTCATACATTTACATACTTATTCCAGACCATTATATAACAATAAGAAGCATTCTTTCATATTATTTTATATGAGTTTAAAATTTAAAAAATTATTAACACTGAAACATAGATCTTACTAAATGAAATCTTTTGAATGTGATGTGTTTCTTCTATCTTCAGGTATAAGTATATATTTATAATAAAAAAAAGATATATGCTATTGAAATTTTAAATTCATGAATAATCTATTCTTTAAATATCTCAATGGTTTAATCTTAGATAGGCTCGCTATTTTTAAAGTACCTTTTTCTTAATAATAATCTATTTTATAAATCCCATAAGTATAAAACCACCATATTGAGTACTAGCTTTATTCTCTTTTATAAAACATGTTAATAATATTTATAACAATTTTATATTCTTAATTAATTCATTAACAAATACTAGTTATGACAACTTTTGTGATACATTGTATAATGTACAATCTCTTTCTACATGTTCATACATTTTGTTTTCTTATTATAACAACATTGTAAGCAGTTATGCTCTAGTGCTGTGCTTAATAAGAATCCATATTTGTTAAAATTAACCTCATTAACTTCTATACCATACATCTACCAGGATAAAGCACATTTGATTGTGTATAATAATTAAATGACTATAAAATTTATATATATTTATGCTGTATAATGATTGAAAATTATTTGTCTCAGTCTAATGAATTGATTAAAATTATGCTTGTTGCTATTTGTTTTGAGCACATTGTTGAAAATTTTCATAAAACGTGGATATTTCTAGATAAATATGGTATAATGTGACATGAAAATAGCAATAGTTCTTTTTTTATCTAAACTATCGTAGGCAGAGGGCACGTTACAAAATGGCAACCAGCCTATTCCAACAATATGCGAAATGCATTCGACGTTAATCGTATGCGCTTTTTAGTTCAATGTGCAGTATTAAGTAACAAAAACACGTAATAAATAACATGATAATGTCGAAAAAACATTAAGACAAAGCCTCGATTCGTCATAAAAGTAACTACTGTTGCATCATAAGGCACTGCAACAATTTATATTTAGGGGTTAGTGCCACAAATCGATGTAAATTATAAAAAGAAAGATCGTCGTATAGAACAAAACAGGAAGCCACATCGATCTGTGACAAAGAAAATAACTTACCGCGGGGGGTTTTATTTTGCATATCCCTGACTTCTCAGCAATGGGCCTGATTTTGCTGATATACGCCAGAGGATCGAGGAACTCTTCAGGAGTTGGCTCGAAGACAGGGGCCTCGGGGGGTACGGTGAATGTAAAATTATCAGGTTTCATGGGGGACGCCGAGTCCCCCATACTAACTTCGACATTAGCTTCGTCACATTTTCCCATTTTTGAGAAAATCCTATGCAGTTCACACAAATTCAACTAAAACTAACACTTTAACATCATCTAAGGTTAAGGAATGAAAAGAGCACGTCCACAAAGAAAAAGTAGGATAAAAATTTGCCTTTCCATAAGGAATCTCAAAAAGATAATAATTGAAATTATCACCAACAAATAACAGAGTTCACTTGCACGTCCGCCATGCGAAATTGAACTTTCGAAACTCCAGTGTTACTAGATTAAAAAAATATTTTACAATTACGACATTTTTTAATTGTGCATTTATCAAGTTTCTAACTAAAATTTAAATGTACTCCTTAAACATTTAGATATATATAATAACAAGATGATATTGTGGTTTTATAAACAAATCTGATTTAAGTTTACTTTAAGGAATTAATTTATCTTACAATTTTATTTTCTGTAATATGCTAGCCACATGTCTGATAATTATTTTTAATACATTGAAAGATATTTAAAGGATTAAATTTAAAGAACCTCATGTAGATTTCTTTTGTGAAAACTTGTAGCTTTACCCCTCAGCTCAAAATAAAGGACACATCATCAATTGTCAATTTCAATTATACTTGTCAATTAAATAAAAGAATCTAAAGATATTTTTCTAAAAAATTAAATAATTAGGTCACCCCTAACGAAATGTTTCTACTTATATACTTGTTCTTCCAATAAAATATGAAAGCACCAATTTGCAACACAACTTGAGGTTAAATATTTATATATTGTAATATTATTAGTATTGGAATAAAAAAAATCAAGAAAAATTATTCAATAAATGACATAATTACTATTTAATATCAATCCAGATTAATTAAGTGAAAGTAGCCCAGCTCGGTGTAGCCATAGTACTTAAATCGGAGTTGTCAAAACGGACTCTGTAAACGCGCAGACTCGAATGCAATCGATGATCATATCCGTCATCCTCCGCCATTTGCGAAAGAAAGGCCGATCGCTGCTCTGCAGCGCAAGTGTCATCGGGTCTACTATGTCGAGTGTCTAAAAATTGTTATTATTTTCAGAGGAACAGTTCACTCAGTGCTATCAATAAAACAGTTAAAATGATTGTGAGATTTTTGAGCATTTTGTGCGTTGGAGTTTTAGTAGCTTCGGCACACAACGGCGAGGGAAACAACGACAATGAAGGTAATATTTATATGTTTATTCTTTATTTTGTTTCAAAAAAAAAATATTTACATAAAACTCATATTAAAATAGTATACGACAAATTTATTAACATATTAACTAATATATAAACACCGAGTATGTTAGAAATAAACAAAGAAATCCTGATGATTTTTTTATTTTTAAGTTGGTATCTGTTTATACTTGGAAGGCGTACCGGGCTATTTTCCCAACTTTCGAAAGTGTCTCCACAGGCATATATATATAACATAATAAGCGGTGCGATTGTAAACTGGTCGTGTAGGTGTTAGGAACCGGCCCGACCACTTCTTGATGCACGCGTCGCTCTGACCTGTGGGCGTGCGCTTAAAGTTTCGCAGTTGATTCACCATTGGGATATTCTTTATATTAAATTTTTCTTAAAAACTCGAGATTTTTTTATCAAATACAGCTTCTATCTATCAAATACACATCCTTATTTCTTATCCGTTAGTAATATTTTAGTTTTACTGATCGTACTAAAGAATTAAGATTTTTAATTCTTAATCAATTGCATAGAGGAGGAATACAAAATTGAACAAAATTATTTCCTTTAATAAAGTAACAGCTACAGTGTTAGTAATATTAATCAATGTACTACGACATCGGTCGTTCTTATCGGATTCCATTGTTCATGACTTAAATGTAACTCAAATCTTGTTAATTTTCATATAAATTAATATTTTTTTAAAGCAACATTTCTTTTACTCTATCTGTATTTATGCTTCCCACATAATTTCAACCATTTGAACATTTAATGGAGATTCAATTATGAAGTATATGTTAAAATTAGCATCGGTGTTTTGATTCATGAATTGTATGAACTCTGAGTTTTTTAAGAATTGTTTATAAGTAGTCATATCAAAATACTACTAATTCAATAGTTTTCAAAATTAAGATCTTAAGAACATTTGTTTTCTTTGAAAGTCTATAAATATTCTGCCTAGGTATTGAAGTCAATAACCTAACCTTGAGTAAAAAAATACACCTTTTATTTTAAAACATATTAATCAAAAGGTATCTATTAAAATGTATATCGGATTATTTTTAATATCAATTAAAACATGCTTGCATTTATAAAGCAAAATTAATGTAATATTTTAAGGGTTTGTTGGTGCTATTTTTTATTCTTATCAGTGTATTTATTTTTGATAATTTAAAACACTCCTTAAATTTTTCTTATAACATTATCCACCTGTCCGTTAGTCATAAAATTTGTGCAGTTCTGGAGTTAAGCCAGAACAAATAATACAAATACAAACATATTTATTCCATTTAATATCTTTTTCCGCGATTTCGATAAAGTGGTATTCGGAATTGGGTTTATGACGAAATTAATAAAGGTATTTAAAAATACGACATGGCAACATTACGTTAACAAAGAAACTGAATGGTTCAAAAGGACTTGTATCCAGAGCTGTAAAAATCATTTATAAAAAAAAACCAACTCTATGTGGTATAAATATAAGCTTATATGAAATTTACATGTGCCATAATTTATTAATATATAAAGTTAATTTTTTCAATTCAATGAGTAGTTATAAAATGAAGTAATTTCAAAGTAAAAATGTATGAACACTTCAATTCTCTGCGGCTTGTCTTAAGGGAAACTATGACGTAATTGTTTAAACTGATGTCATACAACATGTGACAAGTATTGAATGACACATTTATATAGTTTTTTATACAAAACAAGTTTGAACGATGGATGTTTACTTGTCAATGAACAAGTTATTCGGTCTAGGAATACTGTGACGCCACATTATAGATATCTGTAGATATAAAAATGAATTGCTGTTCGTTAGTCACACTAAAACTCGAGAACGGCTGAACGGATTTATCTCATCTTAGTCTTGAAATGTTCGTGGAGGTTCAGGGAAGGTTTAATAGCTGAAAAAAATTGATTCATTTCCGGGAAAACCCTAAAAAGAGCCCTTTTTCTATTTCCCATACAAAAGTTTTTATGACATTAGCTATACATATATTACTAATGACGAAATTAATAAAATTAGTCGCGGGCAAAAACTAGTATTTAATATATTTTTCATAAAATTTCGTCCGTTGACTACACTCCTATGCTTAAATATTTTATCTTATAGAAAAATCTATTCAAATATATTATATTTCACGTGATAGTAGCTATATGTAGAAACCTTTTAATATCATATGTATGTATGTATGTATGCTTTCATTGAAACGCGTATACGTAATGAATTTTAATGTACCGTTTTGCAGAATAATCCAGTATTCTAGGTAAACTTTATACAATTATTATTTTATATGATGTTTCTATTCAATTCTATTCTATTTAATACTATGATCGCCTCATTGTTAACTCTGACAACATCCTTTGATTCAATATGGAAGGATGCGAGTGTTTGAAATTAATTTATATTATTAATGTTTAGTCATACGTATGTAGAAATAGAATTGAAGTTATACATACTATAAAAGAATTATGATATATGATATATACTAGTTTTTGCCGGTGAGTTTGTCTGCTCGATCTTTTTCATTGTACTTAGTACATACTAGAAATAAAATTTCAAAAAGTACATATTTAAAATTGTGCATTTACATTGAAACCAAGGTTTCTAAGTGTAAAGTTTTTCATTCATAATATTTTAATGCATGATTATGAATCTTATCAATTTAGGTTTATGAATTGATAAACTTAAAAGGCTCTGTAGTTCGTTGTAGGCTTATGGTAACTACAGAAATAAATTGTTTGGCTAACTAAATGACGTCATCCTAAATCCGATACAGTGTAGCATTTTGTTATTGCTAACTCCAATAATATAGGTGTCAAATTCACGAGATTTTTTTGTGTCGTGATGAATTTGAATGGCAGCTTTGTTTGAAATAAAACTCTTTTCATTTTATTCCTTTATTATCAAACGATTCTCGGCTTAACAAAAGCATTAACTGCTGGAATGAATGACGAAATGTTTTTTTAATATATATTTTTTTCTGCATTTGATAAACATGCAAATATCTTTTTATGTATATTTATTGTAAGTCGTAACAATGAATGAATAATCGTAGAAAAAACTGGTAAAGAATAAAAAGAACCCTGTATATTAATAAATAGGATTTTATGTGTGTTTGTTCGTTAATTTCTCGTAAACGATTTTTAACATTTTTTTACCACCAAAGGTAAAATCTTACATAATGTTCAGTGACGGCAATACCTTCTATATGTATGAAACTAAGCATAAATGCTAGAAAATCTAATATGATAGAAAAAATACCTTAGTAATTTTTATTTTAAAACGCTTAAGCGCTTCAATCGATTTTGTACTATTTAGGACGTATAGTGATTATCGCTTGATGTTTGAATGCAAATTTATTATATATATATTATATATGTATATACCCGGTTTATTAAATCATATTGTATCCATAACAATTGTATAATAAAAATATTATATGGCAGCATATATTATATGAATTTAAATATCGCATGATATGAATTTTTGATGTCCTATTTGCGATTCTTGACTTCCCTTATGCGGTTAGTTGAAATTTGGCAATGGTGACGTCATTGAAGTATTGGTTAGGACTTGGTACATGTTTCTAGTAAGTTCTTCAAGTATAGCTAATTAATTTAAGCTGCATTTATTTATTTATTAGGAAACCTATAGCTTATATTACAATACTTAAACAGTTTCCACTGTTATTTTAACATGGAGTTTGTAAGGAATACTTTATATTAAAGAAAATAAAATATAACAAAAAAAAAAACAGATTTTTTAAAGATAGTAATCACATGTTAAGAGAAATAAATAAAAATAAATTGTACCTACAATAATATTATAATAATTACT